TGAAGGACAATTTGGAAACTTAATCAAATGAGAGAACATGTAAAACATATTGATAGTGTATGAGGTGTTTAGTTATTATCACACGCAACCAATTATCATCCTTATACCTCTTCTCGTTATTCTCCATTTATTTTTTCTATTGCTTTAATTTTCCTTAATATTGGACATGTATCCATTGTTTATTTTTTTATTTTCTTTACATCCAATCCAAAATCTTTCTCTAATCCTCAAATTTTTTCCCCATTTCATACATAATTTTACTTCATTTTGATTTTTTTCTAATAATTTTCTTATATTTTGGGAACAATAATAACTTTCCAATCCATTCCATTAAATTTTATATTCCATTTATAGTTTTCTATATTAAATGAACTTAACAAAAATTTGTAAATTAATGCTAATAAATATTCTTAAGTAAGTTAATAGAAGTTTCTTTTCTTTAACAACTTTTATACATAAATTTATTTAGTTAATAAAAGTTAAAAACATTTTTATAAATTATAATTTAATTATGAATGTTAGGAATCAAAATTTTATTATTTTTTTCTAAAAATTTGCGTAACCTGCCGGAACCCCGAAAAAATTTTATTATTTTTTAAAAAATTTGCGTAATGCCGGAACCGAATCGAAACCGTAATTTGAACCGTCGGTTCGCCGGAACCGTGTCGAACCGCGTAGGAACTGAAACCGGACCGGAATCGAAGGTTCAAGGGTCGATTCTGATTCAAAATTTTAAACTTCTCGAACCGACGGTTCACTGAATCGGCCATGCTTATTTCTAGATCGCCTCCATATCACCAACCCTATTCTCTTCCGTTGCTGGCGGCAAAATGAATTTAGCTCATCGATTGAGATTCAAAGTGACTCTCACGACCTTATCTCTTGGTCGTAACTTCAAATAATGATGTTTTGTGGTTGGTCCCTCGCACAAACCCTAAGACCAAAGGTTGAATTTTTTGAGTCATTAAGTATAGTTGGCATGTCCCTTTTTCCTCCATTGTTTTATTTTTCCTTTAATTTTCATACTGTGACTAACATAATTCCAAATCATCTTAGTAGGGTTGGTCCCTCGCACAAACCCTAAGACCAAAGGTTGAATTTTTTGAGTGATTAAGTATAGTTGGCATGTCCCTTTTTCCTCCATTGTTTTATTTTTCCTTCAATTTTCATACTTTGACTAACACAATTCCAAATCATCTTAGAAGGTCCCTCTCTATCCATTGCCATATTCTCTTGAAATTGTTCTATTTTACTTTTTTGAACATGCTTTCTGTTGAATGTTGACTTAGTAGCTATGGTGAAGGCCGCTGGAAGATTAGATAATTATTTGTTATTTTGTTGCTATTTTTAAGGAATAATTTAATATGCTTATCATATCAGATATGCATAATAAGTTTGCTTATTTTTCTGAAGTTTTCTGTTTTTAGAGTCTATAAATACTTCTGTAATAGTTTTTCAATAAAATATAGCCTTCACATGTTTATAATCTTTTTTGAATTACTCTTAGTTTTTGAGACACATATCTAACAGTGTGGTATCAGAGCCAATATCTTATAGGACCTGTGAAATTGAGTGAACCAAAAATCAAACCCAAACACCAACCCGTTAGATGGAGGGGGAGTCTAGTTATGGTTCAATTACTCCTCCAATATTTGATGGAGTTAAATACAAAGTCTGGGCTATTAGGATGGAAACTCATCTCAAAGCTTATGATCTGTGGGAGGCTGTGGAAGAAGATTATGAAGTTCCACCACTAATTACTTTTAGTTTCTGAGACACATATCTAACATTGTGGTATCAGAGCCAATATCTTATAGGACTTGTGAAATTGAGTGAACCAAAATCAAACCCAAACACCAACCCGTGAGATGGAGGGAGAGTCTAGTTATGGTTCAATTACTCCTCCAATATTTGATGGAGTTACTTACAAAGTCTGGGCTATTAGGATGGAAACTCATCTCAAAGCTTATGATCTGTGGGAGGTTGTGGAAGAAGATTATGAAGTTCCACCACTTGGAGATAACCCAACAATGATTCAGATCAAAAGTCACAAAGAGAAGGTGAAAAGAAAAGCTAAAGCCATGAATTGTTTGTTTTCTGCTGTTTCACCCTCGATTCTTAGCAGAATTATGCAAAAGAAATCTGCCGCAGAAATTTGGAAATATCTTGAAAACGAGTATAAAGGAAATGAAAAGTTAGATAATTAGATAATATGCAACGGTCATAGAATATTTTCGTGATTTGTGAACACAAAGGATTCTCAAGAATCAGCAACTGCAAATGGAAAAGAATATGGCCCAATAGGAACTCTTAAGTATATTGCAAAATAAGGTGTTGAGACTGTTTTTTGGCAAAGAATGTTTCTGGCAATGAGAATTATTCAAAAAAAGTTCTAGCTTCACATTTACTTGAAAAATATGAAGCAAAACGATCTCATCTCTGGAACAAATTCTAAAAGACTGTTCAATTACTTACCTTGGCTCAGAACTCTCTAACCATCCTTTACAGGCTCATTATAGCCAAAGAAGGCTTTTATGAGGAATGAGAAGTTTCTGCTAGGAAGGGTGCTTCATCAAGCAAGTTTCACGATATTAGATAAGAGAGAGAAAGAGGGAAATTGAACACAGAGACAAGAAAGGCCAAAAATTATTCACCATTGTTCCCGCATGGTTAGAAAACAAATTCATCCGGTCAAACTAGGCTGTTCGTGGAGACCAGGATTACACCTTAAAGTCTTATGAGGAATGAAGTTTCTGTAGAAGGTGCTTATCAAGCAAGTTCACGAATTAAAGAAGGGAAATTGACACAGAGGACAAGAAAGGCCAAAAATTATCCACCATGTCCGCATTGTAAGAAAACAAATCATCCTCAACAAAGGTGTTGGTGGAGACCAGATACACCTTAAAGTTCATAGGATAGGACGAAAAGAGAATTGTTTGAGGTCCTTATACTCATTATGCCTAGCATTGAATAAACTGGGTATTCACCCTATCAAGGCCTTAATTCAATGATGAATTATGTTCGGCGTCTAAAAAGACAGCTAAATTGGACCGAACCCTTTGTGTCAGGCTATTGTTCTTTTGTTCCCTAAAAATCATGGAGTAAGACATCGACTTCTCAATAACTTTTTTGATTACATGATAGACTTCTTTGAAAAAGGTGTTGGTGGAGACCAGATATTAAATGCCATAAATGTGGTCAGTTGGGACACATCGAAAAAGTATGCAAAGGACAGCAGCAAGAAGAGGTTGAGGCTAAGGCTGTTGTTGATGAAAACCAGGGGGAGCACTTATTTATGGCGTCATATGTTACTACAGACAACTCTGAAGGATGGCTTATAGACAGCGGTTGCACGAACCACATGACCTATGATCGGGAATTATTTAAAGAGCTTGACACAACTGTCATCACCAAAGTCAGAATTGGAAATGGTGAACGTATTGCTACAAGAGGCAAAGGAATTGTGTCCATAGATAGCCTATCAGGTCAGAAACTTATTTCTAAAGTTTTATTTGTTCCTGATATTGATCGGAACTTGTTAAGTGTTGGGCAGCTGCTAGAAAAAAATTATGAAGTGCTCTTTAAAAAAAAAGGTTGTATAATCATCGATCCTGAAGGAAAAGAGGTGTTTAGAATCAAGATGAAAGGCAAAAGTTTTGTTCTTGACATATTGGAACAAGAACAAACTTTTGTTGCACAAAGAGACAGCAACACCATGCTTTGGCATAAACGATTAGGGCACTTTCATCATAATGTAGTGCTATTTATAAAGAAAAATCAAATGGTGAAAGGCTTACCAGACCTGGAGAAAGATTTGCCGATGTGTGCAGCCTGTCAATATGGAAAGCAGACCAGATTGCCTTTTCCGAAAAGAACAGAATGGAGAGCAACTCATAAGCTAGAACTTGTACATACAGATGTTGGAGGCCCACTGAAAGTATCATCCTTGAATGGTAGTAAGTATTATATTATATTCATTGATGATTATACAAGATTCTGTTGGATATATTTTCTTAAATCCAAAACTGAGGTTGCTGGTATTTTTTGGGAGTTCAAAACATGGGTTGAAAATCAAAGTGGATGTGAGTTACATGTCATACGATTTGATAATGGCACGGAATACACTTCTGATAAATTCAACAGATTTTGTAAAGACACAGGAATTGAACACCAATTGATGGCACCATACACTCCACAGCAGAATGGAGTAAGTGAAAGAAAGAATAGAGTGGTAATGGAGATGACAAGATGTCTGCTACATGAAATGGATTTGCCGAAGAAATTCTGGGTAGAGGCTGCAAGTGCTGCAGTTTTTTTACTGAATAGGCTTTCTACTAAAGCTTTGAAGAATAAAACTCCTTTCGAGGCTTGGTTTGGTCATCAACCATTTCTGTTAAACTTAAAAATATTTGGATGCCTGTGTTTTTCTTATGTGCCTCAGGTGAAAAGGGATAAGCTTGATAGAAAGGCTGAAGCAGGAATCTTTGTAGGCTATAGCAACACGTCAAAAGCTTACAGAGTTTATCTACCTCAAGTGGATAAAGTCATAACCAGCAGAGATGCTGGAAGATGAAAAATGGAGTTGGAATGATGCTAAAAATAACAAAATTCCAAAAACAGTTGAAGAAAATGGTGATGCCTTAGAATTTTTTGATGATGCCTTTGATGATGAACCAATAAGGGGCACAAGATCACTTGAAGACATTTATCACAGATGCAATGTGGCTATCATGGAGCCAGAAAAATTTGCAGATGCTGTTTTAGATTTTGAATGATGCTAATACAAACAAAATTCCAAAAAACAGTTGAATGAAATATGGTGATGCTTAGAATCTTTTGATTGATGCCTTTGGATGATGAACCAATAAGGGGCAATACAAGATTCACTTGAAGAAGAAAATGGTGATGCCTTAGAATTTTTTGATGATGCCTTTGATGATGAACCAATAAGGGGCACAAGATCACTTGAAGACATTTATCACAGATGCAATGTGGCTATCATGGAGCCAGAAAAATTTGCAGATGCTGTTTTAGATGAGAAATGGGTTTCAACAATGGAGGAGGAGCTGAGAATGATTGAGAAAAATGATACATGGGAGCTTGTGGATAGACCAACACACAAGAAGGCCATTGGAGTAAAATGGGTTTATCGGACAAAGCTGAATTCTGATGGATCTATTAATAAACATAAAGCAAGACTGGTGGTCAAAGGTTATGCTCAAATGTGCGGAGTTGATTTTTCTAAAACTTTTGCTCCTGTGGCTCGTCTTGATACAATCAGAATGCTATTAGCTATAGTTGCACAAAAAGGATGGAAGGTTCATCAACTTGATGTAAAGTCGGCTTTTTTAAACGTTTACTTGGAAGAAGAAATTTTTATAGAGTAGCCCGAAGGTTTTCTGGTTAAAGGACATGAAGATAAAGTATATCATTTGGAAAAAGCCTTATATGGTTTGAAGCAAGCCCCTAGGGCTTGGTACAGCCGAATTGATTCTCATCTTCTAAGCTTAGGCTTTGAGAAAAGCTTGAGTGAATTCACTCTCTATGTTAAGAAAACAGAAACAGATATACTCATAATATCTTTGTTTGTTGATGATCTATTAATAACAGGTAGCAAGACCTGTAAATCTCATCTATCTTAAGCTTGGTAGGCTTGAGAAAAGCTTTTACTTGAAGAGTGTGCCAAAATTAACACGTCTCTATGTTTAAAGAAAAATACCAGAAATCCAGTATCTTATCACTCATGTCATAAAATATCGGTATGTGTTTTGTCGCGCCCATATAGATAAGCGATTTCTATTAATACAACAATTAATGATAAGCAATGAAGCAATATGTTATTCACAAATTTCAATTTGCATTGAGAATATCAGAGGATGATGGAGGAGTGTGTTTTGAAATAAACCTGAGACCTTGGATCGAAGAAATGTCTTTTTTTTCTTGGAAATTGAAGTGCATAAAAAGATAATTGTGTTTTTATTTCGTCCAACATAAAATATAGCACAGGAGTATTCTGAAAATGAAATATTCTTAAGTAAATGGAGGAATGTCAAGGTCCTAAGACCCATCTGTACCACCTTCCAATGATCTGAAGGAGAAAAATTTGCGAGCAAGGAAGACCTGGAAGAGCTCAAATAAGGTAATAGGGTGTTAGCTACATGGAGTGTATATAAGACAGAGGCTGGTGACCTAATGTATTCTTAACTCGCAAACCCGGGACGCTCCTGATTATCTATTGTGCTAATTGCTGTAAGTTTGCTGTCAGATACAAGCATTGGGACGGTAGGGGATCTACAATAGATTTCAAAACGCCACACAATATCTACAGGTAATTATTGAGAGAGGGTACTATTTATTAAGCACATAACTTAAAACCATTGCGCTATAAGATTCAAGATCCAAAATTGCGCCCCAGAAATTTGGCCTTATATAATTTTCCCACATGGTTTTTTATTTCTCTGCCGTGGGCTGCGCATGAACTCAGATAGTGCATATGCTGCGCCGCGCTTGATTGAGTGATACATCGGCTAAGGGCAAATCTCCAGTCTTACTGTTTCAGTTTTTGGTTTTGGTGTTTATTTTCCATGCGTTGTTTTCCACCCAAAAGCACAGATGTGATAGCTCAAAATCCACAGCTGAGAGCAGAGTATTGTTGCAAGCCACCTTTAGCAGTTAATTCCAAGCTTTTCTGTGATAAGAAAATCTGTTACTCTGACTTCTATGCAAGTAAAAAAGGATGAGTACAGAGGTTTATCGTCGAAACAAACCAGGCTGAATCTCAATTCCGACCAAATAACTCCAGTATGTTTTCATGGAAATAAACTCAAGCACTCTTCAAACATTCGTTCCAATCGTGTATTTTCTCATAGGGGCATCTCCAAAAAAATGGTGAAGCATAACGTTTGGTGCAGCATGCCAATTCAGATATTTGCAGTAAATGCTCTTATATTCTATGACGCATAATCTCTCTCGAAGAGCTCTTAGATTTGCGGACATTATTTAAAGCGGAGAAAGGACTTGAGTCTTGCTGCTCCTAAGCAAGGATTAGAGTTTTTGGATACTGTTGACGCTTTATGTAGCTCATGACAGTGTAACGTCCGTTGGAAAGATTAAATGTTGACTTAGTAGCTATGGTGAAGGCCGTTGGAAGATTAGATAATTATTTGTTATTCTGTTGCTATTTTTAAGGAATAATTTAATATGCTTATCATATCAGATATGCATAATAAGTTTGCTTATTTTTCTGAAGTTTTCTATTTTTAGAGTCTATAAATACTTCTGTAATAGTTTTTCAATAAAATATAGCCTTCACATGTTTATAAATTTTCTTATTAAATATCTTTTTTGAATTACTCTTATTTCTGAGACACATATCTAACACTTTCTATCTTTTCAGAACTTTAGTAGTTTGTGAAAAGAAAAATAGAAAGAAAAAGATAAAAAATTTATTGGTGTATTTATGCATTTTACATAAAAACAGAGTGGACGAAGAATGACGAGTGAGTTAGTTATGGCTGTAAGGTCGATGGTAGCAATGCCAATGTGGTCATCAATCTTGAAGATGCTTTTTATGGTGAGAAGAGAGCTCAGAGTTAGTCTTGTTGACACACACGAGAACCATGTAAGTCTTAGATTAGAGTCCAATAGCTCCGAATCTTAGGTTATCGAAATAATCTACACTGTCGTTTTATAAAAATTAACACACTCGCTGCCAATAGCAAGGCAAAGGTTAGAAATATTTTTGACTTTTTTACCTTCGTTTAACAAAAAAAAAAAAAAAAAAAAAAAAAATCTTGTCTCCATATTAAGGGTCATGTACAATAAAAAATGGGTATAGAAATGACTTTCCTATTCGGTCTGTGTGATATAACCTATACGTTTATACCAAAAGATAATAGATGGAAAAAACAAAAAAAAAAAAACGATCATAATCTTTAGACGGAAGGACTGATTTAACGAGCAAGAATAACACCCTTACAGGGACTAGTAATGATTGATATACAAAAAATAAGGGATCCGCAGTTTGGGAATAAATATTGTGTACTAACCTCAATTGTCACAAAAAGAAATTGTTTTACCTTATTTCTCGAGAAGTCATTTAAACAAAATCAACAAACAAACAACGGATATAGGGTGGGACATTAGGTCGGCTCTACATAATTGGTAGGCGAGCTATCTCTGTGCCATCCGACTCAATAGTTCAAAAGGGTCAAACAGAACTACTCTGCTCACCTGATTTCCGGTCCACTGCGGTTCTTCTCAGATTGACGCCTAACCTCCCTTTATCCAGTCATCTACTGCTGGATCACTCTTGGATCCTGTGCACATATTCCTCAGTTCCTTCTCGGAAGTAGACGCAAAAAAAAAAAAAAAAAAAAAAAAAAAAACTCTAATTTTAGACGGAAGGACTTTTAACGAGCAGAATTAAACTTCAGGGACTATATGATTGATATACAAAAATAAGGGGACGAGTTGAATAATTTTGTACAACCTCATGCACCAAAAAAAATTTTTTCCTTTCAAAGTTTTAACAAAATCAAAAAAACAACGGAAAGGGTTATATAGGCGCGCTATCTCTGTGATCACTAATGTAAATGGGAAACAACTCTGGCTCCGATTCCGGCCACCGTCTCTCCGTTGAGCCTCCTTATCAGATCTCTGAATGTAATTTCACTTCTCATTCCTCGAAAGCCGCAAAATTTCTTCATCGTTGTTTCGCCTCTCTCTAGCTTTTGTGCAAAAACCCTAAATTTTTCGTACAACACTCGAGCTAGACCTACTCGTTTCAAGCTATTGATGACAATAGTTGAGGACTTATTTTTTGTATTATTGATTGTTCATTTTTATTGACGAATTCTCCTACAGTTAAGAGTTTTTGGGTTTATCCATTTTTGAAAATTTTATTTGTTATTATTTATATATTTCATGGTTTAGCAGAGAAGATGAAAATGTAGCTAAAGGTTTCAACTACTTTTCCCCTCTCTTTGCAATACTTGTAAATGGAGAGATTTGTTTTGATGATTATTGTTAATGAGAAATATAAAAATTATGAGAAAGATCAAAATATGGCATTATTGCTTCTAAATTTGTATATTTTGGAGTATCTTTATGAAGCACCAACCAGATTGCCAATGATGTATATATTCTGCTATCATTTTTGCTAGTTCTGTGCCAAAGTCACAAGTGTTTCTTTTTTCCATATTGACTTCAAGTGTTCAATATGTTGCTTGGTGATTGCCTATTCTTGCTGTTTTTCTTGGTTCTTGGCTTCTGAGTTGCACTGGCATTTTTCAACAATTTGTTTGCTTATTGGCTTTTCTGTCTTTCTGCTTCTGTTCAATTGATCTTCTTAGCTCTTAAATGGTAAATCTTTTACAAGACAATGTATTCATTTGAGTAAATTAGTTGTTTGTTGGCATTGTTCGTTGTATAAGATTAAGGCTCTTTCCAAGCAAAATTTTTGAATGTTCATTGAATCATATCAGTAGTGGTACAGTTATTAGTTTTTCATTTGAGCAACGTGAGGCAAGGTTGCTTGTCCATTTCAAAATAATGTGTCTTTTCTTTTTTCGATACCCAAACTATCTCGTTTTATTTATTGCTTTCAGTCAAAGAACCATCCCCTAAGATCCCCAAGCTTTAACAACATAGAGTACAAGAAGTGTTTGAAACAACTGCTCTTCAGGTGAAAGAGCTCTCTGAGAAAGCTATTTTGCCCACCAGAGCCTCTCTTCTTTCTGCAGGGTATGATCTCTCCAAGTATGTTGTCGAAAGCGGAAATCACCTTTTCTTCTTGCATTTACTTAAAAGAGTCTAGAATAATGAGAATGATTTTTTAAGTTTGTCATTATTTGTTGTACACTGTAAAGCTCATCCGATACTTAAGTATCTGCTAGAGGAAAAGCTCTTATCCCACTGATCTAAGCATTTCGATACCCGAAGGAACATGTGCTCGCATTGGTAAATCCATTCCATTTTCCGTTCTGGTGAGTAAACTTTTGTTTCCCAAATATGGGTTATTTTTATTTTGGATGCAGCCCCAAGATCAGGATTGACATGGAAGCACTCAATTGATGTGGGTGCAAGTGTGATAAATGCCAAACACAGGGATCCGGTTGGTGTTTGTATTATTTAACCATTCTCAAATTTACTTTGAGGTTAAGGTTGGAGATAGGATTGCTCAGTTAATTATTGAGAAGATCACGACTCCTAATGTTGTGGAAGTTGAAGATTTGGATAGGACAAGAGAGTTTAGCTCTGAAGGGGTTTGGGCTTGTGTATTCTTTTTTTGGGCTCTTCCTATAATTGAAAAGGAGCAGAATAGCTGTTGTGATAAATTATTTTATATTTAGAATTTCACCAAACTTGAATTTACATAATTATTATTTTATGAAATAATTTTTTACATTAATCAAAAATAGAAATAAGTATTCACAAAAAATGTTACCCTTGAAATACCTCATTTAATTTCTACACCAAACAAGCTATATTTATAAAATTTTATATAATTATAATCCTATATTTTTCATTCCTTACATGACAATTGGAGATGAGCAAATTTATACAAAATTTATGTAATTCACAATAAAATTAGAAATGAAATGCAATTCCTAAATTAAAGATTTCAATTTGTGTATTTTAACTTCCAAAAAATTTAATTTTCCTAAAAAAAATAATACATAATTCATAATCTTTCTAAACTTCCATTTAAAATTAAACTTGGAATAATTATATTCTCTTTCCACTTTTGAAGGTAAGCCAAACAAACAACTTGTCATGGAGCTGAAAATGAACATGAATTAATGATGCAACGTGTAGTGAAGCACAAAAGCCATTTACACAAACAAACTCTAAGACCTACCATCAAGCAAAAACATAGAATCATCATCTTCACCACTAACCTCAAAACCCTCAAATCGCTCCACAAACTTCTGAACTCCAGTATCCTTCAAACAAATGGAATGGAAGGGCAAACACATCTATCTAATGGAGCTCAATAAATATATTGGGTGAAAAATTGTATTGGAAAATTATGTAATATCTCAACAACACCGGCACGTTAAAAAATCCAAGCATGTGTAAGGTCTTGACTTCAAGTCAAGTTCCAAGGCTGTGGGTAACCTTTCCAAGCTGTATATGTTGCTTCGCGCACAACAGAAATTAAATAGATTTCGGCAAGCTCCTTTACTAAATGGATACACCCGCTCAGGAACCCCCCTGCAGATCAGGAGAAAATTAACAAACCAAACTCATGAATTAAACAAGGCAAAACTAATTGGGTTCTAATTTTAGTAATGTCATTTCAGTTTAGTAACTGCAGACCGATCCTTCATTTAGCTAATTGCTTGCAAATTTAAGTGGATGTTCAAAAGTACATATTTGCTCTTGTTACTCTCACTAGGAATCGGGTCCATTGCTGCCTGATTAGAACTGAAAGCTCACCCACTCTATGTTACACATTCAAAGTTTCATCATATTATAACTCTAATATAGCTAAAAAGGCTCCATCGGGTCATTGAGGCCCGAGATGTACAGCCCTAACTCTCACTATATAACCTTATTCTTTCTTCCAATGCAATGCAAAAGAAAACTAACATCCAATATCGAATTTAAATTAATAGAATATCATAATTCATTAACAAACCTTAAATATGGGATGCGCCTGCGCCTCACAAGTTCATAGGTAGTTTGATTTGTTAAAATAAGATAGCTGCATCAAGGAAAAATAAGCTTCAGTAATTTGGATACTTGTGTTAAAACCAGAATCTATAATAATGTAAGCAGAAAATAAACTTTCCTTGAGCTGTCCATAGATATAGTTATTATGTAAATATTTAATGAAATTACTGTTAAATCAATGATAAGTTCAATCACCAAGGGTGAATTAGTTCCTAACCATGATGGCCACTGTACTTTGAGGTAATTTCTGATATCTAATTTTCTATCGCCATTATGATGCAAGACAAGTATTTTATTTGTTAATTTACCTATTATACATTGATAGGTTATTAGTATGAGGAGACGAGAAACAAATGGAAACTAGAAGTGGTGCGCAAGGAGCCAGATCATCAGGACCTAATCACAAAGACTATCCAGATCCATAACTGAAAAAAAAAAAAAAAAAAAAAAAGTGCGAATAGCCAGATTTTTCATCAGGACCTAAATCACAGAAAACATCATCACGAGTCCATACATGAAAAAAAAAAAAAAAAAAAAATCAACGTTCCACAATTGGTTTGCTATCACTTTACACTGTTGTTTTGGCCACGTTCAAAGAATGGAAAATCTTTATTCTTAAGGGGAAGAAAAAAAAAAAAAAAAAAAAAAAAAATCAATCGTTCACCAATTGTTTCTGATCACTTACACTGTTTTTGGCCATTCAAAGAGGAAAATCTTTATTCTTAAGGGGAAGCAAACCACTCTTGCTCCTATATAAAGCATAGAGTGCTCAGCGCATCTAAACAGTGTCATAAACAAATAAAACCCTTGAATTTTTGCAAGTAACATCCTCTATCATTTTTCCCCATGTGTGTTCGGAAGTAACACTTTGAAGAAGTATCACAGAAAGAAAAATCACAAACCTAATAAATGCAACATGAACAGGCCATTCAGTTAATATTAGTATGTCATGGTTTCCCATCTCACTACATACTACTATTATTTTGAGCTGGAAGCAAATATCTTATAGCTTTGAAGAAACTTCCTAAACCAGATAGAACAACCTAACACTTTGAAGAAGTGTCAAATAAATCAAAGCCAATAAACCTCATACTTAATTGTTAGGCCATTCAGATCATTATTAGCGTGTCAGTAAGTCATGATTGTCTCATGCTTCAGAAACTGATGAAGAACTAATATTGTAGAAACAAAATACTCAATAAATGACAATAATTACCTATGAAAGAGCAAGAGAAGGAGCAAAAAGATCACGGAAATTGACAGAGTAACCAACAATAATATCATGATTGCATCCTTCCACCTGTCAATAGAAGCATCGTTTTAGAATACAATTCAATGTGAACAGCAAGTGCACGAGCTAACCCAACTGAAACACTGGAACCATCAACATTGCATTTTGCTATCTGTTTTTACTCATCTTGCATTTTCGTTCATTTTTCTCTTTCTACGGAGATGTTAGATTGGCCCGAAAGAATTTTCACATAAAAGAAAAACAGACGTCCTAGAAATATAAACAAGAAAAAAACTTCAGAAGGATATCATACCAAGCTCTTGTAATGTTGTCCTTCAAGTATGCAATATACAATATGCCAGTCCATAGGCACAGTGTTGTTTCCTCACAAATGTACCACCTAAGGAATCACATAATTAATAGGAAAACATAAAAAATGCATCATAGTTATATTGTTTAAGGCATATTTAACTGCAAATCAACTAGCCATATTGTGGAGCACTGTGGGAATATAAACATCAATTTCACAAGGACCTCCGACATTCAAACTACTTACGATTGAATTTCCTTCTTGAATTCTAAACTATTTAAGTGAAAAGCATAGCAATCCAATCAAAATCAGATTTTATATATACAGCAGTCAATTTTGCAGAAATTAGAAATGAAAAAACAAAAAATTTGCATCTTTACAAATACTTGGCCACTGTGTGTCCCTTGATGGATTTTCTAATGATGTATTTTAGATTAAACTCAGATAGGAAGATCAATCAGCAGCCATTCTACCAGTAAAGCAGGTTTCTCAAACAAATATTTCCAAAGACCAACATGTCCATCTTTCTCTTCATCGAAAGAAAAAAGAATATAGGTATAACTAGCACATGGTTAGTATCAAATTTTGAAATAATAATTACAACTAACAAATAATAAAAATTCCATCTAAGATCATCTCATCAAATATTTAAACTTAATACTATTAAACATTGACAATGTACAGACAAAAAGAGCAGTCTTTTGTGATGAACAGATATATTTTGCCAGATCTAGATCAGTACATGGAAAAGAATTTTTTAGGTACGACTAGATCAATATGACCGGAAATAAAATACCATTTTAAGAACATCTGCAAAGCTTAATTGGATATCAGAACACAAACTCACCAAAATCGACAATGATTTCCCTGACCAATGCATGTTCCAAGCCAAACACAGTGATGATCAAACTGAAGAACACATTTGTCACAATCATGGCAATGCTTAGCGCGTGGAGGCTGTAATACCAAGAGAAATATAACTAACAATCAAAATATAAGCTACATTAAAGATAAAATAAAGATCATCCAAAGGAAATATTTCATATACCTAGGCTCTATCATACAAAGAGATATCAAGAAAAAATGACGATGCCATCCACCTAATCAAAGGAAGATGAAAGAAAAGAGTCCTATTCAAAATAGCAGCTAAGTTGGAAGTTAAGTTTTATAAGACTAATTTGACTAACTATGGCTTATGGCAGCAGCAAATTTTGGACACCAAAAAGATATGCAGACAAGATTAGCATGATAAAAGAGTAAGAGTGATGCAAAGATAGATATGTGGATACACAAGGATGGACCAAATAAAGCATGGATAAATCACAGTCAGGTAGATCAAAATAAGCACTAATTTTGATTTGTTGAGAAATGTTGAGAAAGGAGATCAAAATAGTTGAGAAAGGAGATCAAAATAGTTTGGACGTGCATTTTAGACTAGCAAATGCACCAGCACGAAATGCTAAGCACAGTAAAGTGATAGGAGACAAGAAATAAAGGAGAAAACCAAAATGAGATGGAGGTTAGCAGTGGAAAATTGACATAGGAGATCATGCATGTCCAGCACAGGGAACAGTACCTATGAATAGTGTTAATGAACAGTGTATATGAGAAGTATCCACGTTAAAAGTGAATAGTATTGATAAACCGTACCAATAAGGACTCCAAATAATACTTGAAATAGATACAAGGAGGATGCCCAAAGGCATTTGAAAACTCTCTTAGAAAATCAGGAAATTACAAGAATGCCCTGCTTTATAAAAAACATAGAAATTTCTGGGATAAAGGCATTAAAATAAGACTACTTAAGCTTAATTCATTTCAGCTTCGGCACACCTTTTACAAACAAGTTTCATTGCTCCATGAAATACTTACCGTGCAAGATCTGTCCAAAGAACCTAAACCAGGTTGATTGGAGGAAAAAGATCTACCATATGGCCTTGGGATTTAGGTTTAATTAAGTTGAGCAAAGTTTTATTGTTATTCAAAGAGAAAAAAGAAAAAGAGCTCCTCTTAAAGTTAAGCACAACAATTTTTAAGTATGGAAAGAGATTCCATTTCATATAAACAGATGGAACATAGAAAGTATGAATATAAACGTGAAACATCAATACCTGTTCGACATTGCAATAGGTACACGTGAAAGTTCTGCAAAGACCAAAAAACAAAATGCCATATTATTTCTCCAAGCAACATGAAATAGCTCAGGTTTCTTTGCCCATTATATGCATGACATGAAATTAAATTGAAATTGATGGCAGTAAAACACAAGTCATCTCCATTTGTATCACAGATATGTATCATTAAGTGCATAATTCTTTAAAGGGGCATCAAAAAGAGCTTTTCCAAAACATCACTTTGACATTGAGGTTAAAACAGCTTTTCCAGAAAAGCACTATTTTAGATGTTGGAAATATACAGTTTCTAAGTGTTGTTGAGCTGTTTTGAACCTTTTATGATTAAGATAGATAAAATTAATCTTGAAAAACAAACTTTAATAAACTTTAACCAACATTTTCAAAAAGTGCCTTTTGTCACTTGCAATTCAAACAACAATGCTAATCACACCCTTTAAGTGTTAGAATACCTAATGGATGTTCCAGGAGGATACATGTCCAAAACAAGCTTTGTCCAAGATGTCAAATTACTTCCTGGAGTATTTCTTCCTGATTGAGTCCCTTCCACAGTGATAACAAAGCTTCCATTTTTACTTGAAGCAGGCTGTCTTTGCTTAAGCATTATAAAATCTAATTGTTAGTAACATCAATTTAACACATTAATATTTGTTAATTATAGGCCTACTAAAATATAAGTACAAAAATCAAAATTAGTGCTTACTTTGAGGTCATTGAAGCTTTTCCAAAAACTCCATTTTTCTCATTCAGCGCCCTCATTGCATCAAGAACATAGCTACAAGAAAGAGAGAAGAGCAAAGTAGAAACAACATTAGGCCGATAAATCCACCACAAAAGTTATGCACTCTAAGCACAAAGCAGATTAGATTAAAAGAAGTATAACTGAATTGAAATTTACCCAGGAGAAGAACAAGCTGTAACAAAATATTGTACCAAAGTTGCAACAAATAACAATAAATACAAAGCAATGTACCTGAGAACAAACCAAATAATAGGGTAAGTTACAACTAATAACATAAAAATGCACACTGAAGTTGAAGGAAAATGACAAATAAGACCAATTAATATTAACAAAATTCAAAAGAAAAGGGCGGAGTAGCAACACTTCGTAGAAAGCAAATATAAATTATTTACTTCCTCAATGCAGGAATTTTTTTAAGCTAGCAAGAAAATACCATTTTATCACTACCCTACTGCAAACAGACTACTCTTAAGGTATCATTCCTTATACCAGGTGGGATAGAGGCCAATAGTCCGGGATTTAAGCTTAATTAAGTTGAGTTGAATAGATCGGATGACAGGTGATTTGCATTTTCCAACCATTTGGACAAAATTAAGTGTAATGAATGCACGACATATCTAAATCGCGCTATCAAATAATCCTAACTCAAAAATAAATTAAAAGAGACTATAGTAGTTTTTCCAATTTGCAACAAAACTTCCCCTTATAAAATATCAGTTGCTCGGTAGCTTTTTAGATCTTAGATTACAGAATAATATGTTTATGCTGCCTAACAGCCTTAACTAGAACACTGTGTTACAGTATTCACTTTGCCGTCAATTTTAACACGCCTCCCATTCCAAAAACCAAATGTAATCAATTTTCTTTTTTTATCCAAAACAACATGAGATAGCAAGAAGACTTGATTTTAGTCAAAAAAATTTTGAAACTTCAAGAATCATGCAATCTCATTCATGGCCAGCATAATTTGAATTTTTAATGAAAGCAACAATCCATACATTTAAAGATGAGACATACCAGGGGTCCTGTTTAGCTTTCTCTATCAAATCATTATCAAAAAGAAAGAGAATTCCTGCATATATCAGATGCAACATCACCAACGCCACCTTCAACCCCAATGAAGACCTCTTCACTAAAGGAAGAATAAAAGGAAACTTAATCAGAAAAATAAACTAGAAGATAAAAGGAAGGGCATTACGAAATGGATTTTATTGAACTCAAAAATGCAGCAAAACGCACAATAATTAACATTTTATTTTTTAGGGTTCCAATTTATCATTTTCCTTTCTTTTCCCTCAAACATCAAAATTAGAAGCAAGTGGGGATGAAATGTACCAGGATCAGCAAAACAGGGGAAAATGCGGTGGCATCGATCAAGTGCTCCATTGCAAGAGTTGCGGCACAAACTCAGAATTGTCATTGAATGTTACTGTATGCACAATCTGCACAAATATACAATTAGATTTGTGGCAATTCACAATCTGCTTATTTGTTCAATGGCAGGATCATAGGCTTAATGCCACAAATGTAGGTGTTTTTAGTATCCTACTGAAAGGGGAAAAAATCTTTTCACAGATTTGTAATAACATAGTAGTAGACAGGACCACCTTATACTTCCAGTTCGAGTTCAACTAGGCAATCAAAGTATTCAAGTTCAAAATTGAACTCCATTTATTTAAAGAGAAAGAAATGTTTTTGAGTAAAAATTCCAATGTTGCTTTTCTTCTCTCAAACACATCCCTCCACACTTTGGCTGGCAATATTTCTTTTATTAATCATTCATAAAACAGATAAAGAACCTCACTTTTATTTATGAAATAGATAGGGAACCTTACAATCATTCAATTACTCAATTTTTCTTCATAACTACTAAACTACGTGCGGGCTAGACATAAACTAAGAACAACAAATGCCAAAAGAAATTGACAAATATAACGAGGGAAATTTGGCCAAATATCATCAGAAGATTTAAGTTCATTTAACAACTAGAAAGTCAATTACTCACTAAAAAAAAGGTAAACATGCAGAATCACAAAACTCACCGTGTAATGCCTGAGTATAGAAAAGGCTTAATAAAACCGAAAGAGGAAGCCTGGCGGAATGACTACTTGGCTATTGCAATAACTGTTACTCTGTGAGACGTGGATGGTTTTCCGGCGAGGACTAAATTGTTAGGTTCAAACTCGCGGTATCTTCAATTTCCTAATTCATATCCTGCTCACTCACCGCTTTTTTAAAGAGTTCGCCGGAACATGTCCACGGACCGGTGGTTTGAATGGAAAGGTTTCGTTCTGATCTGCGGTTTCTTTAGTGAAATTACTCTTTCTCGGAGGTCATTTTTTGATTGGGAAGATGAACGGAGATGTCGTCGCTGAAAGGAAGAGTTTTAATCGCCGGAAACTGCGTTAGCAGAAGCAGATTGTGTATTTTCTTTCACTATTTGTCTCTCTCACGCTCCTCTATTTCTCCAACCTTCGGACGGTAGAGATTGATGTTGATGATCGTTTATATAACTGGGATGAAAACACGTGCAAGGCACGTGTTCTTCCTCTTTATAAAATTATTGTTTAATGTGATAATTATCAATTTTTAAACAAAAAAAATGTTAATCTTATGAGATTAAATTAAAATATTTAAAAATCATCTATAAAAATTATATCATTAAATAATATTTACATTTCCTATTATTTATTTTTTCCTTTTAAGTATGGTGACGGAGATTCGAACTAAACCTGAATCCATTGTCAAGTTGTATATGCACTTACTATTAGCATATGCCTTAACGTGCACAATTTCTGCTAATCAATTATTACGAAGTTTTCATTCATTTACATTTAGATTAAAAAATAAAAAAATTTAGACTGACAGTAACAATTTAATTTAATATTTTTATAATAAAGCAATTTTTAATGAAAATAATGAATTCATTATCGAACAACCTTTAAATAATTATGAAATAATTAAATATAATTGATAAGAAAATGATGTATTCATCCTTACCAACAGAACTGGCAGTTAGGTATTTAATTTTCCCATTTTAACCATAAAGTCCACAATTTTTCCGTTCTAGCCACACAGTCCACGCTCCTCAACTAACTTTCTTCCGCTATTTGTTTATTATTATTATTATTATTATTATTATTATTATTATTACTATTAGGAAATATTACTATTTTAATTTTATATTTTGTCAAAATACATGACTTTGCTCTTGTATTTTTACAGAAATATAATTTTATTTTTATCTTTTACCTCAGTTAAACTCTTATATCTCATATCAATCTTTGTACATATTAGTTAATTTTGGTAAAATATAAGGGAAAAAGACTTGGATATTTTCATTAAAAGAATAATATTTCTTACATCACTTTGATCCTTTGTTTTTTTGTAATATGTGTTATTAAACCCTAAAAATTATATTATATTAGCTGAATTCAATTTTAATTTTGTATTACAAGATTTTGCCATTCCAATGTGTTGAAGTTTCCTTTAGGAAACTGTATCAGAATCTTGAATTGCCGGTGGTTCCAACCAGATTAGAAGGCTCTTCAAACTAATAACTGATATACCAAATCTAGCAAGACTATGAGTAACATTGTTACCTTCCCTGTATGCAAAATCAATACTATCAACTAAAATAATATTTGAATTCAGACTCAATTTAATAGCGTAACAAGAGAAAGAGATGGTTGATGTTTTCACAATTCTTTGAACCCTATTGATTCGGTTTAATTTGAATAGAAAAATATTACAAAATTAATTTAAGAATAATATTGAAAGACTTCAGTATTGGAACTCAAAACTAAGAGGGTATTTGCCTAGATGACAATTACATAGACACCTACTCAAACTAGTAATTTCAACCTGAGCTAGAAACAGCTTGACAATTTTCTGATTCAAAAGCTATCTCTTCGTCTTCGGAAAAACTAGGAGCTTTTGGTATCAAACCAAGCACCTTGAACATCTGTTGATCAACATCGAAGTCATTGTTAGGAGTTGTCAACAGCTTCTCACCAGTAAAGATAGAATTTGCACCAGCAAGAAAGCAGAGAGCTTGTTCAGGCATTGAGAAACGGACTCTGCCAGCTGACAATCTGACCATTGCTTTTGGCATGACTATTCGTGCAGTAGCAATCATTCGAATCATCTCCCATATTTCAACTGGCTGTAAATAAAAGGAGGTGCACATATTAGTTTTAGTCACCTTAAATTTCTTTGAAGCAACCCAGTAATCATAGATAGACAAGGCATAAATTTTCTGCTGAAAATTACGAACTTGAGCAATTCATCTAGATAAAAAATCTGTCAGCAATAATTCCAATTTTACACTTACTAGTGCCTCTTCAGTCTACTAAATCAGAAGAGAAAAGTTTAAGAACAAGACTTTAGTGAGAGTTTATTGTCAATATTAAAAACTAATAAGTGTAGCCTTCGTCTTCTAGTAAGGTTGCTTCGATATGACCTCAAGGGCACACCATTGCAGGTTCTAACCACAAAAAAGAAAAGAAGAATCCTTGAGCAGCACAAAATATTCTCATTCATTGAGATACCTTTTTATTTTTCTGCTAAAACTTTTGGTTGACATTTTCCAATCTATAAAGTCATCAAGGACAATGATCCAGAATAAAACAAAAGATTTGAGTTATTGTCAATCAAATAATATTAACTAATTTCATACTAAAACAATGACACCTATCTTTTACCAATGTGATTTACAAGACAGGAAAAAATTTATGAAAAATAAAAATAAATAGGACATCTTATATATTGTGCACAATCATAACAAATGCTAAACAAGTAACAATACCATTTATGTCAAACATAATTAAGATTACCTTTTGATCTTGTAGAGGTGTACCTTTCACTGAAACTAGTGCATTGATTGGAACACTCTCTGGATGGGTAGGGAGTGTTGCCAATGTATGCAAAAGACCAACACGGTCTTCCTCTGCTTCTCCAAGCCCTATTATGCCTCCTGTTTACAAAAAAGCATACAATTATATCCCTATGATTATTCATGTTTTCGTATCTGACATCTAGAGCGAAGAATGCATAGAGGCCTTAAGGTGGATTAACTCTAAAAGTTATAACAAAAGTGATCATCTTTCCACAGAATAAAATTCAATTAGGCCAATTTTTTATTGCTATCCTCAGTTAAGCTTTAAAAAGAAACAAGTGAGAGGAAAAAAAATTAGTTACTGGTGATTACAGAAGATATAAGGCCATTGGGAAGTTAACTTCAAAATATCCAAGTGCACTATTTCCGTTCCACACATCTTATAACCCTTGATAAGTTATAACATTTATGTAAGTGTATGTGAACACGCATAAAACGTCATTACCAGAGTAAGTTGTAACTTATTCAAGATAAAAGATGCTCGGCTCATTAATAAATTCCATACCTCATGGAAAAGTGAGAGTAATATATAAATACATGTGAATTTAAAATGTCCAAGAATAAATCATGAAAGGCTTTTGCAACAAAGTTTTGGTACCAAGGACAAGCTAGAACGTGATAGGAGGAGGTCAGAGTGATTACCATTATACTTCTCAATCTTCTTCCTTAATTGTTCGAAATTAATTGAAACTTGTTTATCACGAAACAAGTAGTTGCTCTTAGTGACAAGTTGTAGTACAAAAAATGAAAAATAAGCTCTTTGCATTTTGTTAGTAGCCTTTGAGAGAAGGTCGAGTGAAAAATCAATTTAAACATTTAACTTCACCATTTATCATTTATTCACATAAAACGAAGAAGATTAAGGTAAAGCAAAAACCTTCTAATGCTTCATCACATATAAAAATCTATTTAGAGTGATTTATTCTGAAATTTAAGCGAATCACCTGAACAGACATTAATTCCTGCTTCTCGGACATATTCAAGGGTTTGCAAGCGTTCATCGTAAGTTCTTGTGGTGATAATATTTGGGTAATATTCTCTTGAGGTATCAAGATTATGATTATAAGCTGTAAGGCCAGCTTTCTTGAGTTCTTGAGCCTGTTGCTTCTCTAGCATGCCCAAAGTGCAGCAAACCTCCATGCCCATATCCCTGGTACACAGAAGACATTTCAATCACATACCAGACATTTGATTCAAAAATGATCCAAGTTTGGAATTATAGTCCTGCCCTTAAAAATTTTACATGGGTGACTTCGCTCAAGCATGCAACACAAAATCTTCTTATTTGCAAGCACAAGTTTTGCAACTGAATTGGAGACTCATGATTACACTGAACATTTGCTGAAAAATTCAAAATAATATGGAAACAATCATCACAAGGAGAGTTGTGGATGATTAAAATTTTCATGGTCGTTTTCCAATGAAAAATAATAGTAAAACACTATAATTTTAAAATTGAAAAATAATGGAAGACCCTTTCCACTTTGTAGTATAGTAAGATTTTCAATATAACTTCCTCAAGTTGACAAGAATAACTAAATAAATTATTGCAAGGAAAAATATACATCTTTTATGGCTAGCCTCCTTTACAAAACAAGAGATGCTTCTTCTTGAAGATCAATTGAAAAGGAATCATAATAAGATTTTTAAACTTATATGGGTTCCATCAAATTCCATTCTGGTGTGCTAGAGGTCACTTTTAAGAACATAACTCAAAAGCAGTAACACAAGAAGTGGCTTTAGAACTGCTATTTAACAGCTATAAAACCAGTTATATGAACAACAGCCAAAATGTTTATGATTCCAAGTGTAAATACAGTAGAACCTACTCCCTTTTTTCTATAGAAACACATAAACTAAAAAGATTGATATAGAGAAGAATATTGGACAATGTTGATTACTTCATATTTTACCAAAAGTAAGAATCCAAAATCCAATGGTGATGAAATCTGACAAGATCTCACGTCAGACTCCTAATCACAACATCATCTATAATAAATATCATGTACCCAATCAATCTTCAAGAAGACAATAACATGGCGTATGACACCTAAACATAGATTAAATCCCTAAACAGGCCATCCTTTGCCGTAATGAAATAATTAATATTTCAACAAAAGATTTAAGTCCCTAGACACTCTACTATATAAAATATAAAAAAAAAATGACAATCTTAGTTTATTAACAAAAAATGTCCCTTTTACTGCATTTTCTTTATTGCACCAAGTTCCAACAATTTGCTTTGAAGATTATATATATCTAAGACAACATAAGACAACATTGTATGGTACAGCCTGAAAAATCAAGAGTTTAAATTCATCCTTTAAAAGCCACCACTCCTTATAGTAAATGTATTAAAAGTTCTCTCATTGAGAACCCACTTTCATAGGACAACAAGTGCATACTGGTAAACCTCATGCAGAACTTTATTTTCTAAATTAGCCATCACTTCTTCTGTTCCATGATATTTGCCACGAGCTGGTGTGTTTGTTACCTTATTTCTTTTACATAATCAAGGATCTGATTAAAGTTGGTATTTCTCCCTACTGTGTCCCTCCATGCAGCACCCATACAAAAACGTGTGCTACCTGCTTCTTTTGCCTGCCAAAGCATATAAAAGTATCCAAATTGTGTTACTAGCGTATCATGTATATCATTGAACATATCTCAAACACAACATCACTGCCATCTGAAACGAGCCTATTAGTTTCAATTAGAAAATGTAATCAACTAATAGTGAATCATCTATATTCCCATTTAGGGAATCATACTCACAATACAAAATTTCAGCAAATTCATGAAGTTTTAGTTAAACACAAAGCATAAAATTAGAAAAAAGGTCCAAAAATCTATTGCTGATAATGAGAGTTGTTCAATCCTCACATACAAGCCAATGAAATAAAAGAGTAAATCTTTGGACGATGTTCACCCGAAAAAAAAAATGCAGCTTAAATTAGCCATATGAGAGAACTGAATAGTAAATACACAATAAACACAGATATTTAAGTCAAAGCAGGTCTTCTGTTGTACAATAAGGGGCACAAATGTTCTATCAAATAATCACAGCTGTAGGTAAAGCATAAATTTTTATAACATAGGTCATCATAATTGAGGTGGTGGATTGGCTGATATCAAATGAACCATAACTTAAATGATCTGTACAAAACTTTAAAACACGTATTCAAAGGGCACATACCCTTTTGGCTGCCTCCATTACGTCATCCTTGGTCATAAGCTTTTGAGCTTTAAGTCCAGTTTTATATCTTGAAGATTGAGGACAATATGAACAATCCTCGCTGCATCCACCAGTCTTAATAGAAAGCAGAGTGCATTGCTGCACTTCTCTAAAGTTTTGAGCATGCCTATGCACTTGAGCCTGAAAAAACAAAAACAAAAACAAAAACAAAACAAAACCCAACAATATAAATTCTACTTTTCGCTCCATGTAAATGCAAACAAATGTAAATTGTGTCAAAATAAGTAAAAAAAATATTGGACTACATGAATTTGAGCTTAAAAGCCATGAAAACCAAACATTAAAATGCTAGTTTAGCTGCAATGAACAAGGAGGAAAACGTAAATTGTGTCGAAACAAGTAATGAACAAAAATTTAAGGGACTAACTCCGTGGAAAAGGAGATCAAGAAGGGGAGAATCATAAACATCTTTGATTTCATGACGGGTCCAATCATTTCTTGGACCTTCTTTGATAGTTCTTTCAGCTTGAGTTGCAGCAGCTGAAGCTGAAGACGAATATGGAGAATGCAATGAAAAAAGAGAAGATGGTCTTAATTGTTGCGGTCGAAAGATTGATCTAACCGAAAACATTGCCTGTTTCTTGATTTTCTTGTTCTAAGATTAAAAATGGTGGATTTGTTGCTTCTCTTTCGTTAGAAACTAGGCAAGAGAGGGAAAGAAAAGAGAGGAGCAGAAGAAGACAGACAGGGGATGGGTTAGGGGCTTTAACGATTTGAAGAAGCGAAATAACTCAACAACTACTCACTCACTACCTAACCGGCTAACCAACTACAGCTCTTAAATTCCAAGTGGACTACTACTCCTTCCCTATGTCTTGGGAATTATTATTTTTTTTCTTTTTTTGAAAAGATTGGGAATTATTTGTTGGTACATTCATAATTTTGAAAAACTATTTTTATGAATTGCATTACATAATAAATAGATAAATTTCTTAAAAATTTAGTTTTATAAAATATTGATTATATTTATTTTAACATTTTTATTTGTTTAGTTAAAGTATTAATTTTTCAAATATAAATAAAAGAAAAAATATTTGTAACTTGTAAGACATCACCATAATTTTTAAATTTGTTACTTTCTTAACTAATTAATTTATTATTTATTATGAACAAAAGGCTATAAGTGTACGTATAGCTCAATTTACCTCTTAAACTTATGATTCGTGCTTAATTCGTCTTGAAAAACCTAGATTCATAGGAGAATTTGAATAAATTGTGCAATAATTTGGTAGTTGAAAGACTTTTCAAGCAAATTATACAGAATTATAAATTTAGTAGATAAATTGGATCAAAAGATCAAACTCGTAGTTTTTTATTCATAAAAATAAGTTCAAATGGTAAAGTAGGCTTCTTTTTTTTTAAGTATGTAAAATAAAAAATATTTATCTTTTGAATTTTTGTTTGAAAGGTATCTTTTGAATTTAATTGTAATATCCAATTTATCTAAAATTGAGCTCTTAAATTTATTTTAACACAAAATTTTAATCTCAAGACCAATTTGCTTTTTTTTTTTTTTTTTTTTTTTTTTTTACAACAAAATTTAATCTCACCCCAAAGAAAAGGAAAACCCCCAAAAAATTTGCTTTTTTTTTTTTTTTTTTTTTTTTTGTTTAACTTGCCTCTATTAAGTCACTTGTTCACCTAATAAATGACCTCCTTTAACCCAAGAAATCAAGTTAGAAATTATAGTACATAAACAAATTTTAAGTGTCAATTAAGATATTATTCCTTAACAATTTATTATATAGCTTTAAATCTATAATTAAATATTTGTAGTATACTTTTTTTTTTTTTTTTTTTTTTTTTTGTTTAACTTGCCTCTATTAAGTCACTTGTTCACTAATAAATGACCTCCTTTAACCCAAAGAAAATCAAGTTAAATTATAGTACATCAAAACAAATTTAAGTGTCAATTAAATATTATTCCTTAAAAATTTATTATATAGCTTTAAATCTAATAATTAAATTTGTAGTATACAGTTATATTCATTTGTCAATATTTTTATTAATAAAATTTATTTATTTTTCAAATAAGTATATTTAATATTCTTAAAATTAACTATAAAAGAATCAAATATGATTGGATGTCAATAAAATAAATGGATTTGAGATTTAATCTTTCGGTGAAATAAAAGAGAATTTATTCAATTGCATAGTTTGGCCTCCTAAAATATGGCGCTCTTGGAGCAAAAATAACTCTTCGCTCCTCTATCTTATTGAGAGAAATCACGTAAAAAAAAAAAAAGAGTAAAAATATACATTTTAAATTGAAACATAACAAAGTATGAAAATATATTTCCTCCAAAAAAAAAAAAGTATGAAAATATATAATTTTTTTATAGCAGGAAAAGGTTTATTATTATTATTTTTCTACTTAATGGATATATATATATATACCTTCCAAACCCATCTTCATTTCAGATTTTACCTTGTAACCGGAGAAAGAGACGGAATAACAGCAATGAGCAGGGCCAATGTAAACTCAGTGTTCTACGCCGATACATATCATCCAATTCAAGCCGGAAGTATCGACGGCACTGATATTGTCCCGCACGACAACGCCGTTTACCGGGCTTTGTTATGCTCCTCCGCCGGACTCTGTATCTACTCCATCTAATATTTTATTCTCCCATTAATTTTACATATTTACGCTTCTCTCACTACTTAATTTCATTTTATTGCAGATGACCCCTTCGGCGACCCCAAAGTCATCGGCGACCCTTATTGCACGGTTTTCGTTGGCCGCCTTTCTCATTGCACCACTGAAGAATCACTTCGTAAGGTGACTATTTATAACTCATAACCATTTTGCTTATATTTAACTATTGTTATGTTTCTGACAGTAATGATATTAAATTGTTAATCGTAGGCTATGAGCAAATATGGTCGAGTGAAGAACTTGCGCTTGGTCAGGGACATTGGTAACTTTTTTTAATTATGGTTTAATTACTGCTGTGTGATAATTTGATCCATTGATATTGGGTTCTCTTTGAATCTTTGTTTAAACTAGAGGCTTGTTTTGGTTTGTACTTATTCTTGCAGTAACTGGTGCCTCGCGTGGCTATGCTTTTGTTGAATATGAAACTGAAAGAGAGATGCGTCGTTCATATAAGGTTCTGAGACCTGAATCTTTGTTTTTATTTTCTTGATCTGTTTCACCATTTTATTTGACAAACCTCATACAATTTTCTAGCATCAGTTTATGTATTTAGGTCTTCACCTTTTATGCTCTCCGAGCATGAAGACAGAGACATGAATTTTTTATTGTCAAAAATTCTCCTTCTAAACCAGCACATAATCTTCCTGGACCTAGTTAATTTTCTTAATTAGAATAGATTAGTTAAGAAATTACAGCCTTAGTTAAGAAATTATAGTCTAATTTCCTTTTTCTTTTTATTATTAGAACACTCATCTATTTTCCCCCTACAATTAGAAGTCATATGCATTATGAGCTACTTTATTTTTATGAATTTTTAAAAATTCAATTTTCTTTTCCTTTGTGGGGTTTATCTTTCTTCCTCTTTTGTTTTGTGGAACTGTTTTAGAAAATTAGATATATTTGTTTGATTTATTTAAATAATTTATTCTTAGTTAAAGTGAATGAATTGATATTAATAATGAAGCATATTGTGTGAGAAAAATAGAATTTAAAGCAGCAAATACAAATAGTCAAGGTAGATCCTTTGAGGATGATCTTTCTCGCTGAGTTATCTGGATCCTTAGAGGGTGTCCTCTTTGTTTAGAATGAAGTGTTTCAATTGATAACTTCAAAGGGTGGTACTTTATTTTAGTTCTTTTAGACACGTATGTCCCTCCAGCATAATCTTTCCTGTGTTATAGATCAAGCAAAAGAAGGGCACACCTCTTTGTTCATTGGATATTTTTAGGCACAGTTGCTTGCAATCACACGCCTATGCTTGAAATTACCTTGGCAAAAGTGTATCTTTTAAACAGATCAATGATGCGTTCGATTAATTCCTTGTCTGTGATTTAGTACCATATGGTGAGGTCATCCTGGTTGCTTTTGTTTATGGCGCCTATTTTGTACTAAACTAATAATAGACTTATCCGTTATACAGGATGCTCATCATTCCTATATTGATGATTCTGAAATAATGGTTGATTACAATAGACAGCAGTTGATGCCTGGCTGGATCCCAAGAAGGTTAGGTTAGTTTCATAATTTTATTTCTCATTATATTGTTGCCAATGAAGATCTAAGTTGTAAGGCATTCATCACCCACCGAATGAAATTGGTCATTTCTTGTTCATGACTGGCTAAATACAAAGTTCCATGAAAGAGCTATATCCATTGGGTAGAATCTCATCGCATGATATTGCTATCTTGTAACATTTACATAAGAAAGAATATGAATTTCATGCACATGGTGACTTAAGATTTTATTTCTTACCAGGAACCTTTCTTCTGTGTTTTCATTTTGTTTGCCAAACAGGAGGTGGCCTTGGTGGCAGGAAGGAATCTGGACAGCTTCGGTTTGGTGGGCGTGAACGACCTTTCCGAGCTCCTTTGTATGCCACATTCACATTTTGTCATTTATTTTGCAACATGTCATTATTAAGCAGGCTTGCTTAAATAGTTAATTTGCACTTCTGCAATTGTTTAATTTGTCAATTTGTCATTTTTTCATTAGTAAATTTTATTTAACTCACATTTTCATTTGATTTGATTGCATATTGGATCCAACACCACATCAAAGCGTGTTGGATTTATATGAGGGATGGAATGAGGTTGGGGGCGTAAGAGGACCTGTGGTCCTGGAATAAAAGAAGTTGAAAGATAATTGCACCTTTGTTATTCAGTGACCACATTTGCATTGGCCTTGGGTTCCTGTAGATTGGAAATAATATGATGGTCTAAAAATTGAGGATGATGACTCGATTGGAAAATTTTATGATTGGTAATTAATATTTTATAACTACCAAAACTGTATTATATTTAATGTAGGTAGTATAAAGAATTGCTCTTAGTAATAGAGTAGTATAAATCATTATTAGTGTAAATTATTAATTTAGTTAATATTTAGAAAATGGAGTCATTTACTTTTATTTCAATTTTTCTGCCCCATCCTTTCCTTCTCCCATCATTGTTCATTATTTGGGTGCTCTTCTCATTGTCTAGACAAGGTTAAAGCTTACAACAGTAGTTAGACTCCTCCTCCTTGCTAAGAAATTTTGCATGAAATTTCCTTCTGGGAATTTATTTCTGTATTTATTTTCTTGAATTGATAAGCATACTATCATATTCAGTAATATGCTTAGAGTTAAAGCTTACATCATCATGTTCACATACACATGCTTTACCTTTGCACATTAAACATCATCTTGTTGTCGAGCTAGAGTCTTGCAAGCTCAGTGCAGAAATTGATGGGCAACTAATTATCTTTTTCCCCCCTGCCAGTTAGTTTTACATTTCTGTTCTACTCTGTCAGTTGAAACTTTGAGGGAGTCCTTTCAGCCCTCGGGCTTAAATCTTTATTTAGTACTTCAAACTGGGTTTTATATTATACTCAGTTCAAGCTCGATATGCATGGTTCAGCTGTTTGTTAGAAAGCAAATAAACTTGATTTTATATGACTGGTAGATATGCTGGGCAATAATCAATTGCATGTTGGTTTCTGTTCTTGCTTTCTGGTTTTGCAGTCAAGTGCAAACAGTAAACATTGCTCTATTGATTACACACCCTGTACTTATCACTCCCCCAGCAATGTAAACTCTAGCATTAGGCAATATGTTTCGTGAAAAGGTGGAAAATTTATAGTTTGATGAACTTAACCGATACTAATCCCAAGTTCCTAGCTTATTGCTGCTATAGGATGGAAAACCCGCTCATTTAATGTTTCTGATGGAATTTCCTCTTCTACAAGGCAGGCAATCAATTCCATTGGATGATTTGAAGAGGCTTGGCATTCCTCCTCCACCAGAAGGAAGGTACATGTCATGTTTTCAGGTATTATTTCTTTAACCTGCAGCTTCTTTTGGGATTCATCCTGCATCTAAACTTGTTCACCCGGGTAGTTGAAAAACTGTCATATAGCATCAATATGCATGATGACACTAGCTGTTTTCTTTCTCTTTATCAATATGTTTCTTTCAACAAACTATCCAATTATTGAAGATATTTTTATTTTGTTAATCTCTATCATTAAATTATCCATTTACTGCCAGATATTTTTTGTTTTTGATTAGTTTAAAACTTTAAATTTCTTTGCTCTCAAGTTCAAATAATTGTCTTGAATGGCACCTTCAAATTTGCAATGGAAATCATTACCAAATTTCAACCAGGAAAACCTTTTTCTTTTTTATTGTTTAGGTCCCATCTCCCCCCAGAAGAAATCGAAGCTCCATAGACAGAGAAGAAAGTTCTCGCATGAGGAGCTCTATTGACAAGGAAGAACACAGCCACAGAAGCAGCTCTGCGGAGAGGGAGGAACGCTACAACAAAAGGAGCTCAAGGGGCAAGGAAGAACACACTAGTAAACAACGCTCTAAGGAGAGGGAAGAACGTTACCATAAAGGGAGGTCTCTTGATAGTTCAGGGCACTCCCATAAAAAAATCTCACTGGAAAAGGAGAAACACCACGAGAAAAGTAGCCCTCTGGACAGGGAAGAAACTCCTTACAAAAGGTCTTCGGATTTGGAAGCTTACCCTCATACAAGTTCTAAGGATAGGAAAGAAGGCTCTCACAAGCGCCACAGACATGATAGTAGGTCTGACAGACACAAGAGAAAGAGATCCAGAAGTCGGGATCGCTAATTATTCACAGTTTGTTCTGCATATGTATATTGTTCTTTTTTTTTTTTTTCTAATGCTGATTAGGGGAGAAGTGGAAAAGGAATAGTGTTAGTTAGCTTCAGCAATCCTTGTTGTGGCTCTTATACAAAAAAAGGCTATTTATTGCGGCGGGCCAAACATTGCATCTGGCATGTTGATTGAGGTATTGCCTTGGAGGCTGAGAAGTGGAAGCTGAATGGGGGTAGAGAGCAAATGGTGGGGTTATGACAAATACAATATTAGTATTGCAATTTTGAGACTATTTTTATGAATGATGTAAATCTGGGGGAGCAATGTAGCACTATAGCTGACTTGATTTCTCATGTTGTAACCTTTCGCTTTTTTCTATTTTAAAACACTAAATAATAAAAATACATATATTTTAATAGAATAAATTATATAATTATATTTGTTAATTGACCTAATGAATACATTCAACCCTTTATTTTGTACTTTTTGATGATTACTCATCATGACATTGATAGTATAATGATTAAATCTTGAAAAGTTATTTCATTATACAGAAGAATATGATTATTATTGAAGTGTAAAAGTGCATATTGATCAAAATTCAGGATAAATTTATATATTAGGCCAAATAAAAATTAATAATACCATAATCAAACTCATCCTCAGAAGATTAAAATTATTATTATTATCATTTTTCTTTTGGTAAACATTATATTGCCAGAACATGGAAAACAAGAGATCAAACGAAATGTCAAATAAAAAAAATAAATAAATAAAAAAGAGATCAAATGATGACAATTGATCAATCATCAGTGGAGCATAGGGAATCTTGAAGACATGCACTTTAATTCCCTGCATTTTGGAAGCATTTCACCACAATAATCTATCCACATGGATACTGTATGCAACAGAAATCAAACATACACCAATTGAAGCTGAATAGCTATACAAGCTTTTATATTTAACACAGGTCCAAAGTATTGATCTTTACAACAAGTGCAAACATTCTTTTTGGACAGGCTAGGGATTTCAAATATCCAAAGTCAGCATTCAAAGGAATGGCACTAGGCTTCAAGCATATCTGGTTAACTTATCCAAGAAAGCTTCATTTAGTTGACGTTGAAACTATATAAATACATGAATCACAGACCCTTCTAATAGTTCCTAGTCGCTTAACATATCCTTCAGCAACAAGGCCTGCAAAAATATATCCTCTTAAAGATAATTGACGTACTAAAAAAGAAACTCATGGCATGCTGCATGGAAATTAAGAAAGGAAAAAAAAGGAAAAGAAACACTGAATCTAATATGGTTCCAACAAAATATGAATAGCAAACTCAGAAATCAGGACATACTCTGAATTACACGATCACTTATCATAATACTGAATTACTCATAGCACAACAAGAAACTGCATATATTTTCCATAGATAACATCCACGCTTGACAAGATCTTAGTTGGAAAAAGGGGGAAAAAGGTCATTACATTTTCTTGGCCGTGTTCTAAAATAGAAGCGCATTAGTGCCTAAGCTTGACATTTGACAATAGAAGTTGTTAACTCAATTTAGAACTGTTGTCACGTAAGGTCAACTCATTCCTAACAAAGGCCTCCTAAGAAAAGAAAACACCACTGCCTGGTATAAACAATTGCTTGGTAGGTGTCCTATGGTTCACCATCTAAACTTCAGTGATAACATTATGAAATACGAGAGGAAGCTCGACAAGTATCAAACTTGGGCCATTTCCACCAGCAATACTGTTCTGCAAGTCTTGTAGTGTTAACTTAAATTCACCTAAACTAAGTATAGAAACAATAATAGATTTGTTTGTTCACAAAACAGTCACTGAATCAATGCTGTATTATAATCTAGGCATTATCAACTTCTTTGATGAATAAAAAAGAACAGTATAATGCGTGCAACCCAAATACAAAAGGTAACCCAAATAAATTATCAAGCTGAAGATAATGGAAGGTTATAACCTCGGTTGGATAGAAATACTGGTTGCAAGCTTAGACAAAGGAAGAGATTTAATGATGGGTGACAGCATACATAAAATCTTGTAGCATCCTATTGACGTGGATGCTGATCATAAAGGCAACCACAATCAAATGGTTTTGCATTTTGAATTTTGCTAGGCCCTTAAAAGAAAAAAAATTACAAGTTGCAGTTCCCAACTCCATTTACATATCTGCCAAAACTTTCTGCAATGCAAATCCATATCAGGTAGAAATTTTTTGACTGTGTATAATAACTGAAAATTTTCCCCATCCTGATATCAAAACAGCAATACATTCCGTGCTGTCAAAGGCACACCTAAAATCAAGCAAAAGCAAGATGTGTTCTAGGCTAAAGATGAAAGTGTGCCTTTTCCTGAAGGACTCCAGGTTGTGCACCTTAGCTTGACAAATCTAATCCTTCAGTTCTCATCATATGTAAATTTACTTAATTTCATAAATCTGACAACGTGATGTAAAATGCTTAACCTAAGTTAATTAAATTTTGGATATAACACTCTCTGCATGTTATTCTTCTTCAAAACAGAAAAAGAATTTAACTTTCCTTTCCTCTTTCAAAGTTGACTAGTTTTCTTATGACCATGGGGTGCCCTGATGTATGGAGTGAACTTGGGTATAAAGCATCATTTGAAATTTTGCAAAAGAAGTGAACTTTGTTCTTTCAAACTTGATGTTTTTTGACAGCAATGGTGTTCGCAGTTCCTTGATGTACTAAGTGAACATAGCATTTTTGAAGGTATATAGATGACTGATAACAAAGGAGAAATAACCTTCAACAAAACAACAAAGGACAAATAACCAAAATTAGAACTACTTCTTCGAAAACATGCTAATGAAAGGGGCATTAGAGAAACTTCAGCAAAATCAGAACCTTTAACTACAAGATATCACACCACTCTTCCACTTAAAGCTTGATTAGAAAAAGAACTAACCTTTGGTTCTTGTGATAGTTTACACTGCCATGTATGCTCCATCAGTCATGTCCAAAATGAACAGGTGCTTTAGCTAGCACTTGCTTCCTTATCTAAACCTTTAATCCTATTCCCTCTTTCTGCAGCTTTTCTTTTTGCTTGAATTTGACGCACATACTCCGCCACTATAACATGGAACTTAGGTGCAAGTTTACTTGATGAAGAAACATTAAGACCTGCTTTCTTCAGAGCCCGGGTTACATGCTTCTGTGCCTTTTGGAAGTGTACAGAACATAGAGAAGGAGCAGTTGATCTCAGTATTGGCTTTCCACAAGTTATAGGTCCTGCCTGTGCACTAGAGGTATACAACCAATCAATCATAGAAATGGTCAGTGAAAACATGATTGTGCATGATATAACAAAATTCTTTCACAGTTATGTGATCAATCTGGCTTCAGGAATGCTTGTTATCAAGTTATAAGGTGGGAAAACAGAAAAGTTTAAAAGCTATGCTTGAAACTAGGCATGCTTTTTTTTTTTTTTTTTTTATACATGATATAACAAAATTCTTTCACGTTAAATGTGATCAAATTCTGGCTTCAGGATGCTTGTTATCAAAGTTATGAAAGGTTGGGAAATGACAGAAAACAGTTTAAAAGCTATGCTTGAAATAGCATGCTTTTCTTTTTTTTTTTTTTTTTTCATAATTCAAATCTCATCGTCCAGAGCTAACTCTAATTTAGTATCAGATTAGGAAATAAAATGTGTATTCAATTATTCATCTACATCGATTTTTTTTTAATCAATGATCCACTTGTTGTAGATTTGGTGCAATTGCTTCATCCAAGGCACACATACATTATAAGAATTTCAAATGGTAAGTTTGACACAATACAATAAAATGTTCATAAGTGGAATAGAAACCCAAACTAACATTATAATTTCTTCTACAATGAAATATTCAGTAGATTTTAACCACTATAAGAATAAAAACTGGCAAGCTATTGGTTCAAGCAGAAAGAAAGCACACAACGGCAAAATTAGGCTGTCAATTCAACAGCACTAACACACATTTTGGTGCAACCAAGCCAAAAAAAAAAAAAAAAACATTTTGGGTGCAAACCAAGCCAAAAAAAAAAAAAAAAAAATACAACCATAAAACACTGTATTAAGGGAATACCTTATTCCAAGAAGAAAGAGAGCAAAAGAGGAAAAAAAGAACAAAACCCTTTTTTGATACATTAACACGCAAGGCTTGTATAGCTTCTGCTGGCATCAGAAAAAGTATGGTGCAAGTGACAAAAACTATCAAAGCCATTAGCCTTTTTAGTTACAGCACAAACAAACACTTATGGTTGTTTCTTCAAAATCAAAATCTCCCTTTGAATTAGAACCCTTACATTTATTTCCATTATATTATTATTGTTTTTAACACCAATATAACTTCAATTATTAACATTACCCCACCCTTCCTTCTCTCTCCACCTTTTCTCCATCTCTTAACAAAACCACCACCACCAGCCTTGTTTCGTTTGCTTCTGTTCTCGTACTTGAGGGATGAATCTTCTTTTGAATGGACTCACACCGTTAATTTTCCAGTAGTACTCTTTGTACTGTATCTTCAGCTCTTCCCATTTTATAAGCCCAATAGTGGTCTCCTGTAGCATTTTGAGAGGCTGCTTTTGAGGGGGTTAGTGACCGTCCGCTTAAGGAGTTCTGGGCGCTGAGGTGAGAGGCGCAAAAAAAAAAAAAAAAATACAACCAAAACACTGTAATTAAGGAATACCCATTATTCCAAGAAGAAGAGAGCAAAAGAGGGAAAAAAGAACAAACCTTTTGATAACATAACCGCAAGGCTTGTATAGCTTCTGCTTGGCATCAGAAAGTATATGCAAGTGACAAAAACTAGTCAAAGCCATAGCCTTTAGCTTACAGCCAACAAACAAACACCTATGGTTGTTCTTCAAATCAAAATCTCCCTTGGAATTAGAACCTACATTATTTCCATTATTATTATTATTGTTTTCACCAATAACTTCAATATTAACATTACCACCCTCTCTCTCTCCACTTTCTCTCTCTACAACACCACCACCACCTTGTTCTTGCTTCTGTCGTACTGAGGGATGATCTTCTTTGAATGGACTCACACCGTATTTCCAGTAGTACTCTTTGTACTGTATCTTCAGCTCTTCCATTAAAGCCCAATAGTGGTCTCTGTAGCATTTTGAGAGCTGCTTGAGGTTGTAGGACCGTCGCTTAAGGAGTTCTGGGCGCGTGAGGTGGGAGGCGCGTGAGAGAAACTGCTCTTGTTCGGAGAGGGTGATTGGTGAATTAGTGGCGACACTATTGGAGGAATTAGGATTAGGTTTGGGATTTTGGCTGTTAGTCATAGCGGCAGTGGTGGTATTGGGGTTTGGATTTTTGGGTGGCCGGGCGGATGACGGTTGGTGATGGTGAAGGAGGTTCCTGGATGCCGGAGTCATACCTTGAACAGGGAGGAGAGAGAGAGAGAGAGGGAGGAATTTAGTAGAGAGAAGCAGGTGCTGGTGTCTTTATTTTGTACTGGCCTACTATAATACAAACTATTGAGCGAGGATGTGAGCATTAAAATTAAAATAATAGGGTAAATAACTATTTAGTCCTTCGAATTTAGTCATAATTATAGTTTAATTGGTTATCGTTTGATAAATATACTTTTTAATTTTTTAGATTTATTCTTGTTAAACAATTGGCTTTTTGTTTTTTTTAGAAACACCCATCGACTAGTTTAGGATCTATTTGGTAAATTTAGCTGTTTTAGTAATTGTTAGCTGTTTTAATAGCTATCAGCTGCTTTAACAGTGATTAGCAGTTAAATATTAGCTATTAGTGGCTAAGGATTATATAGTAACCATTAAATATTATAGAAACAAGGTAAAAGATAAATGATGGGTTAGGTGTCATAAAGAAATTATAAAATGCTAAACGTTTATGAAGACAACGTTTTATGAAATACTGTTTCAAACTCTAAACGTTAGGTAGATATTATATTACTGAATGTTATAATTAATTAAGATACTATTTCAATTCTATCAAAATACTAAACATTACTTCAAACGCTGTTGCTGAACATGGTCTTAGTCTGTTATTAAAAAAAATATTTTAAATATTAAATATCTTATAATATTTAAATATTTATTTCTTCACATTTAATATATTAGTGTTAAAACTCACGCGATGCGCAGAGTAATATTAAAGAATAAAATAATATTTTATAATATCATATTCAAAAATAACGAAATTGTATAATAAATGATGAAATAATATTTTATAATATTATTCAAAAATAACAAAATTGTATAATAAAATGATAGTGAAATGCATTATAAAGAAAAATAAAAGTTGAAATACTAAGATGTGTCTTATTAAATACCTTGCGAAGCCTTTCACTAACGTACGCAATAGCAAAAGCCATGTATGATATAATCTAGGGGTGTTAAAATGGGTTGGCGTGTCAGGTTCGACACAGAGTTACCTTACACGCGATACGATATGGTCAATACAAATACAACCAATTTAATAATTGTATTAAACTTATCGACACAATCATGACACAAAAATTAGACAGATGATATGAACACGATACGTTTAATCCATCTAGTATCATAAATATGTTAAATGGGTCGTGTTGACCCATATACGACCCGTGTAACTCGCTTAATATCATAAATAGATTAAGTGAATCGTATTGACCTATATATAACCCACTTAATTTACTTAAAATATTTTTAAATTTGAACCTATTTAACTCCCATTCTATTTAAAAATAAGCTTTCCTATATAAAATGCATAAATTTTTTAAAATTCATAACTAATAAAAAAAGTAATATAATAATAAAATTTAAATATGTTTTAGTCAGAGTATTTATATCTAATACTAAAATTATCTTTTTGCTCTTTAACAAATGGATCACTCGCTTAATCCGCGTGTTTAACTCACGGCACAACACATTTATATTCGTGTCATAAATAGGTGACTCATTTGTAATGCAAACATGTTTAATATCAATCCAAAATCATTTATTTCGCGTGTTAGGCGAATCGTGTTCGCGTGTCATGACTCATTTTGACACCACTAATATAACTTGCAACAAAAAATGTATATACGCCATTAATGTATTTTTCAATAGTGATGATAATTTTGAGAATTTAACTAATTATATTGAAATAAGAAATTAAGTATTTTTTTAATTTTATGTCTATGATTTATTATCAATGATTGTTTATTTATCGGAAATATTAATGTGTTATACTTATTTAGTGCATGGTTCCTAAATGTATGGATGCCTTATTTTTTAAAAAATTATCGTATCCGTATGTTCATGTCTCTTGTGTCCCGTGTTTGTGCAATCCAGCTTCTGATATACGAGACTACTCAATACACCAAGTTAATCAACCAAGGTTTTTTTTATTATCAACAAAAAATAAATTGTTTTTTTGAAATTTATTTTTGTCATTCAAATAAAAAATTAAACATTTTTTATTTTATATTTATGATTTATTATAAATGATTATTTATTTATTTGAAATAATTATAAGAAATTTAACCAAAGCCAAGAGGCTGAGGGCGTGGCCCACTTAAAGCATAATGGCATGAAGTCGAAACATAATACACACACCCAATCTCAGTATCATCCCTGCAAAGCAATTTACATCAAAGTTGCATATGTTACTATGATATCCCTCCCTGTTTGAGCCGTTACTAACACCAACGCCACCATTATTGAGATCTTGAATCGGGCTTATAGAACACAGTTACCCACTTTTGCTTTGGTTTTGACGATTGATTCAGTTTTGCAAGAATGATTCGATTTTGATCATGTGTGAAGAAGAGAAAAAGAGATGTAACTGAGTGGGGAATGTGTAAAAAAAAAAAAATGTAAGTATATATTACATGTGGTCAAAATTTAATTGTTGGTCTCCACAATTTTTATTTTGGTTTTTTAATTTTGAATTTTTAATAATTTATGAAACCTTTTAGAAAATATAAAACATATTATCTTCTTACTTCTTACAATTGTCCTAAATAATTGTTATCCTCCTTACACTTCACTTGTTCAGAGGCTTACACTTAGTTTCCATATATTGCAAACTGCTCTGCTTATATATAAGTATAAGGATTTATTCGGTAAAATTAGCTCTTTTAATAGCTATAAATTTTTTAATTAGCATTTCATCAAACATTTTCAAACCCTAACCACTAGTTAAACAACTAATATTAAATAAATATTCTCACTTAATACTTCTGATTTAAAGTGTTAATAGTTAACGACTGCTATAATAGCTGATTGCTGTTAAAACAGTTAATATTATCGAAATATTCTAGAACAAACTCTTACTCACAACACTAAAAATTACATAAAAGCTATTGTTACATAAAAGTCACTCAAAACTATAGGAAAAGCTATTGTTGCAGAGAGTATAATACATGTTGTCACTTTCACCCTGTAAAATATTTCCTTTTGATAAATTCAACTCTCGTAGGCTTATATATCACGTAGAAACCAGCATTTGCCAAAAATTTTCAGGTGTACAATGGACTGCTCCACCCAATAATTACCCACTGGTATGCAATTGTAAACTTTGCCATTCGAAAGAAAAAAAACAGGAAACCTGCAGCACGAACTCAACCGTTGGTAACCGTCAATAACTGCTCCAGGCCGTACAATATGTTCTGCCACATAACTGCTCCAAAATGCACAGGCAACAACTTTCAGTTTCTTCTTCTGAATCAATCATGGCATTCCAAAATTGCTTACGTACTCTCACTTTCTTTCTGGGTTTGCTTTTTCATTCATCCTTTGCCATTGAACCTCCAGACTCAGGTACACAATGGAAGCCTTTCCTCTCTGATCACCATTTTATGGATAACAAGTGAAAAAGATAACTCTTTGACTATTATCTCTCCTCTTGCAGATAAACCACAAAAACCGTATTTCGCTTTCAGTTGGGCAAATGACAACAACACTTTCCAAGCTGGTGATACTGCAGCCATAAAGATTATAGTATTAGGAGAGTTTGACAGTAAAGGGAATGCTTCTCTTGGTAAAAGTTCTTTTAATCCTATTCTTACAGTTAATGGGAAGATTGGGAATAGTTCTTTTGTGTCTGGGGTTTTCTTGGACACTGCAGGGGATACCAGTACTTGGAAAATTCTCTTCACTCCAATTAGGGTCGGGGTCTTTAATGTCTTTATTGAGGATGAACCTTTCGAAGTGTTTGATTCATCTCTCCATTTCAATGCCGTAGCAGGTTTGATTTTAATTGCATTTTTAGCATTTAATTTCTATTTACCCTTCTTTATATTTCAAACAGAAACTTTATTTTTGGCATTTGATGTTTACCCATGGTCACCTTCATGTAAAAGAATTATTATAAGCTACATGTTTTGATTAGTAACTGGAAGGTAATCAATATGGGTTATGGAGCCCCTGGTAAAAGGATTCTATTTTATCCTTCCTTTCCCTTACTTTAGTGTTAAACGATAATTAATTTAACTGATTTTGACTTTGTTCTCTTAGTCTATCTGAGTTTTAGTGGATGTTTGAATTGAGAAAATCTGAATTTGTTGCAAGCATCTAATGACGGACCAATATCATATTGACTCGGTCTCACCAGCCAAGAATGTTGTCCTTTGGAAAAGGGCTCGGTTAAAACGGGTGCTTAGAATTATAAGCTTAAGCCCTCCTTGATGTGAGAAATTTAGCACCATCACATTCTTAAATATTTATGTTGGTGAAAGTGCTTGTTAATAGTACCTATGCTGTCGCTGAGTATTACAATATCAGCAAACGAACTTGTAAAATATTATCATATTTTGACCATGAGAACGTTCAAGAATTCTTATTATGTTGACCAATAAAGATGCATACTAACACCTATTGTTACTGTTGAGGTCAAAGGGCAAATCTATCCATCTGTCTGCATAGCTTCATGGATGGGAGTCTTGAATGAGTATGAAGCTGGGGCAAAAGCTACTGTCTTTATTGTTCCTAGAGATGCATTTGGGAATAATGTTTCTTCAGCTGGTGAAGACTTGAATCCTCATAATTTTTCTGTGTCTGCTCTTTATGCAAATGGTTCCCTCGCCAGTGTTCCCAACGTCACTCATATTGGTTGGAATGAGTTTGGTTTTATCATCATTGAGTTTATTGCTGCAAAAGCTGGAAACCTGTTATTGCATGTGAAAGGTGGAAATCAAACCTTGATTGGCTCTCCACTTCCATTTAAAGTGAATCCAGGTGACATGCTATTGCTTTTGTCATCTGCTCATTGCATGTATTTAGATGCATGTATTTTACAAAGAGGAGGCAGGTTTTTAAATTGACCAATGATTCAACTAGGTCTTTCTGTCTCAAAGGGTTAGAACATAGAATTATGAATTCAATAGGTTAAGTTGTAATGCACAACTGTAATTTTGTCTTCAAATCGCATTCTTTTTTCCATGCCATGAACAGTTGAATTTTTTTTTTTTTTAATTATTTTAAAGTGGACTTTGGCAGGTTCTCTAGATGTTTTGAATTGCCTGCCCAAATGGAAGTTTGAGACAAATGCTTGGCAAATATTTTCCAAGATGGAAATTTTTATCTACCAACAAGATCAGTATGAGAATCTTGTTTCTGGATTACATGAATTTGATGCTGATATAACTGAAAAAGAAACAAATTTGTCTATACCCATTTCAGATTTGTACTTTGAAGAAGTGGTTCCTGGAATTCAGTTATTCTCTTTCAGCCTTTTGGAGCCAGGAAACTTCTTGCTCACTATATCTGATTTGAAGCATAATAAAAGCATCTCCAATATGCCATTTGCTTATAACGTCTTTATAGGTGCAAATGACAGCTGCTAATTATGTATTTTGGAAAGTTTTATGGTGCTAGTGTCAAATCTTTGCCTTCTTGTGTCCTCTTCATTCATATTAATCTTTCCTTTAGTACTTTCATCCGTTCTGAAATGCAATGAAGTTCTAATTTATTCAATATTGTAATGGCTCTTGTCGCTAGCGGTATGCATTTGGTTATACATTATTAAAAATTTTGGTTCTGAAATTAACTTTTTGGATCCCATCATAGGTTCTTTGTTAGTGGTTAAGGAGAAATGTTTGAATATGCTTCTATTGATTATGCAGATAAATATTATACTTTCTTTATGAAACAGTTGCAATTTTATGTTTTAATTGAACAGGCTATTGTGATGGATCTGCCAGTATTGTCAATGGATCTGGTCTAAACGATTCTATTGCTGGTGAAATTGCAGAGTTCTCACTTTATTTAGTTGACGTTTTTCAATATCCTGCTTTTGTTGAAGTAGAAAGCATTCAAGTACAGATTGCAAGGGAAAATGATTCATATTATGTACAGCCAAGCATCCATCCAATTATCAATGGTATCTGTAATTTATAAATTTTCATTGTTTCTTTCGGATGAACAATTTAAATCAGTTTAATAAGGTATATGCATCTTTTTCCTTTGAAATAGGGAGTGAACCTGCTCGAGAATTGAGCTATAGGGCTATTAAACAAACAGAAGTTGCTCCTGATCCATCTATTTTTCCAAGAAATGTTGTAAGTCGTCCATTTACATATTTTCTTCAGTCAGTTCATTGTTGGTGTTCTAATGTTCTTATTTTCTTTGATTCAGTCCACTGGACGCTTGAAAATTTTGGCAAGTTCTTTTAATGTGATTTATAAGCCTGAGAAGAGTGGAATTTATGAAATACATGTATTTTGTGGAAATATTTTACTGGGTGGTGGTCACTTATTCAGGAAGGAAGTGACAGCAGGTATTTTACTCTTATGCTTCATGTTAGCTCTGACATATTTATCACTCAATCATTATTACATGGGAATGCAAAAATGTTAATCAAAATAAGTTGCTTAAACAATATTGATTTGGATGAAAGCTTAAAAGAATTGGACTAAGGTTCTGAATGACAAATAACAAGGTTAATTTGTGCACTTTATCTGTTTTAAATACATATATTTATTGTCTCAGTTTTATAGCTACTCAAAGATCCACGGCTTGCTTGACATGCTATTATATGCAGGCATGAAGAAAATTAATTGGAATGATGTTATGATTTTCAAGCATTCTTGATTAGTGTGGGAAGAAAAAGTAACAAAGAGAATAATGTCCACTAACTATTTGATATCCTTGTAAAACAACGAAATACAACGGCTAACTGAAAAAAGTGATAAAATTGTGAAGCTACAGTTTTGTTGAAGAAATCTCACTAGTTATATTTGTTATTGCTTGGACTAAAAAATGGTGCTAACCTCATGTATTTGCATACCAATAATTTGCTTCTTGATTTGTAGCTAAATTTTCTAACTTTGACTAGGTGAGGTTAATATATCACTCTCAAAAGTTGTGAAATCGGCTACCAAGGTGCCAAAGCTGATTGAAAATGAAATAGTGGTGCAACTGATGGATACATTTTCTAATCCTGTCTTGTCTCAACAGTCACGACTGAATTTAGAGATTGATTCAGTTAACCGGTCCGTTTTTTCAACTGGGATGTTTGTGGATAACAATGATGGGTTATATACTTGCCGGTATGTGGCCAAGGATGTTGGAACATATGAGATGTGCGTTTCATTTGATGGCAAGCGTTTTACACCCTGCCCCTTTGGGGCCAATGTGTACAGCAGTAAGTTAAGACCGCAACAATGTATATACCTCTTCTTGTTTTGGAAAAAGAGAGCTTTAATTATTGCTGTCTTTCTTCCACCCCACACCTCCTCTCCTACATATTCTAGGACTTTCAGTTTTGAGGGGTTTGTTTCCTAATGTTTTAACTTGGTGCTTTCATTTGTTACCTTATTTTTCATTTTTCTCTGGAAAAAAAAATAAAATTGCTTCCTTTTCTGCATGGGTTATCGTGACTTTTCGATGGTTTCTCCATATTATTTGTTGTGATGATGGTTTGAACATATTAATAATGTGTTTGTTGTGATATTGTCACATATTGAAGATATCAAATAGATAGATATTTCTGCTGTTTTTGTATGATGGCACTGTGGATAGTAATTTGTTTTCAGATATATGGACAATATTTAATATTTTTCTAAGATGGTTGCTTTCAATGTTATCCAGGTGAATATTTCCCAAAAGCTTATGATGACACAATTTCTGTGAGGGAGGACGAATCTATTGCTGTTGATGTTTTAGCAAATGATTACTTTGCAGGAAACAATGCAAGTATTGTTGAATTCTCAAAAGTAAGACTCATTGTCGTTCTTTACAAGGCCTTCTCTTGTCACAAGGAGAGGGATCCTGTTATTTTTGCTTGAAAATTAACTTACTGGTGATACTTAATTTGTCAGCCGGATCGCGGTTCACTCTTACAGTATGGACATTTATTTAGATACACTCCCTATCAAGGCTATTATGGGAATGACTCTTTTATGTATACCATATCAGATGTTAATGGCAATCTTGCTTCTGCTTCTGTTAATATATCTGTTTCCAATATCCCTCCCCAATTTATTTCATTTCCAAGTCAACTGCAAGCAACTGAGGACATGTTAACCCCCAGACTTGGGTACATTACTGATTGTCACTAAATTTTTACTTAATATGCTGAATGTTTTGAAGATTTATTTCATCTGATGTTCTTGGATGCATGTTTTCTCCTTGCTTGTTGCAGTGGTTTCGCAGGGTTTGAGATAAGTTATTCTGATCCGTTGGAGAACATTTCTGTCACACTAAGTGCAGACTCCGGGACTCTTTTTTTGTATCCTATGCCGGTGCAATTTTGGCAGACAACTTGGGGTGAATTTTCTGTCAAGGAAGACGATGATGGAGCCAGGAGTTTGATCATAGAGGGCTGTGTGGATGTTATCAATTTAGCCCTGCAGTCAATTCAATATCTTGGGTACAATCTATTTATCCTTTTCTTTTAATTATATATGTATATAAGTTTATAACACCATGAAAGTTTCCTGGAGGCTGCAATTTTATAATAAAATTATAACCCATCTTCGATAAAAATTTTGGAAAATTCGTTTTCTGTGGTTCATATGAACTGTCATGGATTATATATCTGTCTACTAAAGGATTTATCGTAACAATTAATACTTGAGAACCTAATCTTCAGATTAAATCAGTTAGCTATTTACAAAGGAAAAAAAATTAAAAATAATAATAATAAAATAAAGAATTATTTTAGATAATAGGAATGAAATGGGATGAAGGTAATGCAGTTATTCTAACAAAGTGTTTCAAGGCCTTGAAATTTTGTGTAAAAGAGAAAGTTGCTGCTGCCATAATGTGCTTTCATGTTTTGATAATATAATCTCTCTGAAATTCACATATTGGTCATTAGTTTGTCATCATTAACTTGGTCTTCCTCTCCTTAATCAGAAATGATAATTTCAGTGGTAATGATACTATTCGTCTATCTGCCAGCAACATAAACGGGAAAAATGAGCTGGAAGTTCCTGCTTTTGTGGAACCTATTAATGATCCCCCATTTATTAACATCCCTAAGTTTATCACGTTGGAGGGAAATGGCGGTGAATCACTGATCTTTAACAAAGCTAGAGATAAGTTTGCGTTCTGTGTTGGAGATCCAGATCTTCTCAATTTCCCTGGTATATATACATGAACATTTTCTGAGAATATGTTTGAGAATATTATACATAATTTAGAGAGAATTGTACTTCCTTCAAAGAATATTTATCAATCTGATGCAAATTGCTTTAGTATCTCAATCAGTGTTTCTGATCAATTGAATAGAATAATGAAGGAACTTGATCTTCAACTTGTGGGTTATGTTTCAGCAAAAGACAAGTCTCACTTTTTAGTCAAATTTTCACTGGAAGTTGATGATGGATTTTTGGTAACCAGTCTACCAGCTGAGCTCATAAATACAACTGAATTGAAGCTAATGAATAGTTATCAGTGGCTACCACTTCAGACATATGTTACTATCTCAAAACATTTTACGGTCAAAGCCAGTGGAATTAGATTTTGGGGCACAATTTATGATTGCAACCTTGTCTTGCAAAATTTGTTATATAACGTGAGTAAGCTCATCTACAGAAGTCTTAGAAGAAAATATGAATTCTGTGCTAATATATGAAGTGTGAAAAAGGTTCTTTAGAATTTTTTTTACTAATTTTACTACTTAAATTAAGTATGAAGCATCCATAAAATTCATGTTTCTAACCTTCTCATTCTTTCTGGAGTACAGGGGGGAGAACATGGTGTTGTTTTAACAGTGAAATTAAATGATATGGGAAACTATGGTTGTTATTCAGATTGCACTGAAAGGATTTCAATGCCTTTGCAAGCTGAGGCTACTGTAAATCTTATACGAAGTAGGCCAATGAGCTCATTAGCAGTGCACAGTGAGTGAAAGTTTATAAATTTTGTTCCATCATATGAATTCTATTTGAATGCCATTTTTGGCAATTCATGCCTGTGTATTTTGGAAACCTGATCTCCTTTACCAATTGTAGAGTTATCGATTTTATGAGCAGTGTACTATGAAATGCTGCAACGCAAGGATTTCCTATAGAAATTGTTGTTTTCAGTTTAGTAATTATATTAAAATCAAATCAATTCCATTGTGTATGTGCAGCCCTTGGATCAGTTGTCTTTATTGAGTTTCTTATGGTGCTTTCTCTCGGAGTAGCTCTTCTATTCTTCACATTCAAGTGTGCATTTCATCTTGTAAATGAAAGAAAAGGCCACAAAATCGAGAATGCTCAGCAGTCTACTGTGCAAAATATCCAGAAGGAATCTGTGAGCGAGTGTTGGTTTTTCATATATATTACATTGTTAAGTATTACTCTTTCGATGATTTATTTGGTGAAATTTTCAGTCTAAAATGCTTGAATTCTCATGCAGTCAAGTAACAACACATCAACTTACTTCACCAGCTGTTGTTCAAGACTTCTTTCACATCAGACTCAATCTTCCAACTTTCGACAACGGTAATAGGCAAATGACAAGGAATAATTGAGTTCCAGGTTTTCTCATATATTTTTCTTCACTAACACAGCATTTTCATAAATGTGCAGCTCCCATCATCGGTTTGGAATCAAAGAATCCGGTGAGGATATATGTGGTCCATCCGAGTCTACTCATGGTAACCATCCGCAGACTCTGCCTAGCTTCATGCCACTTGCTATCGAGAAGGGGTTCTAAAATAGGCCTAAAGGAGCATAAGGTATCTGTTCAGCTTTATGTGTTGCTGCAGCGACTTAGATCACTTATTTAGCTGCAGTGACTTAGATCACTTATTTATCTTTGGCATTTGCTTTATGATGTTTCAATCCTTTATCTGCTAGACTTGCCGTTTCGAGTACTATAAACTCACTGGTTAAACATAGGGAACCATTGCAGACAGTACAAACAATATCAGCACAAAGATTTTAGCAGATCAAAATAGATAAAAAGAGGAAGAACACTTGCATTTCTTCTTCTGGATATAAAACCGGTCTGGAAGGCAATTGTAGACTTGCTAAATCTCCTTCAAGCATCTCTAAAACTTTGTTCATTTACTAGAGGATTGTCATAAGGTTTCATCTGTGTGTATCACAATCCTGTTATGATCATTTTCCTCGCTATTTTATTTCTAACATTCCAATAGAGGGTCAGTCACAAACCTGAGATGGATAGATCATAAGGAAGCAAAAGCTTAGAAATTACACCGAGTTACATACCCTCGGTGATCATAATTCAAGCAAAGAACATCTTTTGTTTTTTCAAATGAGATTTTGTGAAATTTGGCATTTCAAAATAGAGTTATTTATTTAAAAAAACCATAGAAATAAATCTAAAGATTTAAATAAAGAAAGTAAATTTTACAAAATTATGAGATTAAAAATCCAATTGAACTTAGAGAAATTTTATAAATTCTCTAACATATTTTCTTTTTGATTACTTGCAAGAAGTCAATATTTTTCTTTGCGTGACTGAGATTTTCTTCGTAGATTCTTGCTCATAACCTTGTTGTTTCCAAAGACTTGGCATGACAGAGTCAATTTCTATAATTTGAAATTAATAAATTTTATTAAAAATGTGGAGGAATTAAAATGAAATGACATTATTAAAATTAATTAAAATAAAAAATCTAATAATTATTAAATTTCACTATAATAATAATAATTATTGAGTGAATAATTGAAATTAAGTATTATATTAACCCTTTATCTTGCTATCATTCAAGTTAAAAGAAGATATGAATTCAATAAAGGTTAATAGAAAATATTTAAATAACAATTTTATTTAAAAAAACCCATAGAAATAAAATCTAAAGATTTAAATAAAAGAAAAGGTAAATTTTTACAAAATTATTGAGATTACAAAATTCCCAATTGAACTGTTAGAGAAATTTTATAAAATTCTCTAATACACTATTTTCTTTTTTGATTACTTTGCAAGAAAGTCAATATGTTTTCTTTGCGTGACTGAGATTTTCTTTGCGTAGATTCTTTGCTCATAACCTTTTTGTTTCCCAAAAAGGACTTGGCATGACAGAGTCAATTTAATAATTTGAAATTAATAAATTTTATAAAAGTATGTGGAGGAAATTAAAAATTGAAATGACATTATGGAAAATTAATTAAAATAAAAAATCTAATTAATTATTAAATTTCACTATAATAAATATAATTAATTATTGAGTGAATAATTGAAAATTAGTATTATATTAACCCTTTATCTTGCTATTCATTCAAGTTAAAAAGAAGATATGAATTTCAAATAAAGGTTAATAGAAAATATTTAAATAACAACAATTTATTTTTTATGTTGATATATTATAAGTGATTTTTAATGAATTTCGCATATGAAAAAATTTTAGGAAAAATATATTTTTTTAATTCTGCTGAAAATTGTGAATTATTGAAATTAAAATTATTTAAACACTAGATGCCCATTTACAAACACTGCAGCTAAAAGTTTTTTTTTAGCGAAATTTGTTAATGCTTCCTTCAATAACTGCATGATTTCTGCCAAACATCAACCGGCTCGTGAGATGATTGATTCTTCCTTCATCTTTTAGCAAGGTGAATTCTGGCAAAATTCTACCACTTGATGGATGATGTATTCTTCCTTTCATCTTTAGCAATGATTTGTCTGGATATAAAACTGGCCTGTGGAGGGCTCAGATTGTAGATTTTTCTAAAATGCTTCCTTCAGAGCATCTCTATAACTTTTGTTCGCATTTGTAGGAGGACTCCCGATCAGATAGGTCTTCATTCTGAATGCCCACCATAAATCCTGTTATAAAATCATCTTTCTTGCGTATTTTAATTTTCCTGCCTCTGTTCACTGCTTTCTACTTCCAACTCTCCCATTAGGATAGTCTGTCGTAAACCCAAAAAATGGATTTTAGTATACTTTCACTTAAAATCCTTTTGCTTTGGCATTCAATTTTCTTCCTTCTTCCCTGTCATTTCACTAATTAACAAGATTTCCAAAAGACTATATAACATCAGCTTGGTACGGAGACACGGGCCGTATGTTTTTGGTAGAACAACTCCGGTCGCCATATATCGCTATTGTTCCTCTAGCTGCTGTAAGAGATGCAATGCTACCTTTTGTTTGAGCAATGCTACCTTTTGTTGGATACAATTTGGCAAGCCCAAAATCAGAAATTTTCGGAGTGAAATTTTCATCAAGAAGAATGTTATGAGGTTTGATGTCAAAATGAAGGATTTGCATTTCGCAACCTCGATGTAGATATTGAATGCCACGAGCCACTCCTTGAGAAATCTGATACAGTTTTTCCCAACATAAACTGACGTATCCTTGTCGAGAAAATATGTAGTTATCAAGAGATCCATTCGATAAGAATTCATATACAAGAGCGCGCTTTGTTCCTTCAACACAAAACCCTATTAATTTTACCACATTAGCATGGTGAATTCTCCCAATTGTAGCAACTTCATTGATAAAATCTTGTCCATTTGCTTTAGATTTACCCAACATCTTTATTGCTGCAAATTGGCCGCTGCGAAGCTTTGCTTTATACACACAGCCAAAGCCTCCTTCACCCAGTTTTTCTTTGAAACCTCCAGTCATCTTCTTAATGTCTGAGTAAGCATATCTTATTGGCATTAGATTATTGTGACTCTGCAGAAATTCTTCGATAGTGTTGTATCCTGATAAATGCCTTCTTCTCCATTTATAGATCAGAAATGCAGTAACAAATGGAGTCCCACATAAACACCTTGCAGCAAGAAACATTGATCCTGCATGAAATTCATAGAAGCATTCAAGATAGACAAAATTTATGGCTTTGCCATCTCTTTTAACATTTCTATGTTAATGTTTCTTATATAATCTTACTTTTTTTCTTGTAGAAGAATGGAAAAAAAAGAAAGGAGTTCTTACCCAATTGCATCGATAGGAGGAATTCGAATAGGATATCCACTGGAATCATATACAAGGGAAATTACTAATATTACTATAAACTATATTGTAACAGTAATTATGTATACAGAGAGAGAGAGAGAGAGAGAGAGAGAGAGAGAGAGTGGGTCTTACAGAATTCCAAATTGTAATCGTCAAAGCATTGAGTATGAATTTTGGAGTGGAGGTAGCAGCTTCTGATGCCACATTTGTGTATACAGTTGACATTGAACCATGAGATCTCAAATCCAAATGCTAACCTTTGATGAATGTACAAGGGAAATTACTAATATTACTATAAACTATATTGTAACATGTAATTATGTACACACAGAGAGAGAGAGAGAGAGAGAGAGAGAGAGAGTGGGTCTTACCTTCTTGGACTACATAAATGAGACTAGGACCTTCATTATAATAAAGTACAAAATAACATCAATCAGTATTAGAGGATCTTAATCTATATTTTTCATAAATAGGATAGCATCTCGTTTCATGAACCTGAGTAATAGCACTGAATATGGTTTTTGGGGTCGAGGTAGCAGCCATTGTTGACACATTTGTGTATACAGTTGATGTTGAACCATGAGATCTCAAATCCAAATGCCAACCCTCGATGAATGTCAATGAAAGAGATATCCTTCTTCTTGATATTGAAATCTTTTGCTGCAGGAAACAAAGACACTGTCTCTATGCTGCATGAGTCCATCAAAGCAGTTGCTGTCAAGTCGTCTATATTCAGACAAGAAAAGTATTGAATCTTCAAATGAGATCCAGAAGAGTCATTGGCTCCACTTTTAATGCAATAAGAAGCACTACTATCCACATAACTAAGAGGCTGGAACACTGGATTTAGGCACTCGATGAAAACAATTGGCTGCGATAACCTGGGATATCTTTCTGAATCTGCCCATTTGTATTTGAAATTGGAATATGTATCCTCAAGCTCATATCAAGTAAGGGAAAATGTGGAATGGAGAAGTAATCATGTTGATCAAGACCAGCATCTACTAGTCGGAGGGTGAAGTTATTGTAGTTGATTGCTCGCACATAATATCTTGCATCATTTAGATACAATACTGTAACATTATTTTCACAAGATAGGCTATATCTATGGTCTCCGCAGTTGCTTGGATCGGTTTCCAGCCGGAAAGGGTAAGTAATGTTAGAGATATTGCCACATGAAGAAGGGGCGCAATGACTGTTATCTCTACCATTACAGGTCTGGGGGAAGAAGACTACCAGGAAAGCAAAGCGTAGGAGCCATTCTCTAGCCATTATTAAAATACTTTGATAAAGGATAATCTTTCTAAGTGAAAATAGTCTAAAGGAACCGATGTGCAAATAACAACAAATAAAGCATCTTTTTGATATGAAATGAATATATGCATAGACTTCGGACTTACGAGATGATAAAATATGAAAAACCTTTACCAATAATTGGTAAGTAAAGTTAGTCAAGTCAGCAAAAAATATTGTCGTTAGCAGGGGGAATCTAAGATGGGGCACTTGCCTCCACTAGTTTTTTACGGTTCAATTGATGATTTTTTACATTTCAGTGTATATAATTATGTTAATTTATATTTATTCCATTAAATTTTTACCTTTTGCCCCTACGAATTAGATTTTCTAGATCCGCCCTGATTGCTAGCTGTTAGATGTTAGGTCTGTTCGGCGAATAAAATCAACTGTTTTGATAGTTGTTAGTGGTTTTAATAGCATTTACTTTAATCTTTAAAAATTAATTTAATTCAAACGCTATATTACCGAATAATATATTTTTTTAAAAGATGGAAGAAATCATAATATTAACCAAAAATCATAATGTTACGAATGCTATAAAATATAGTCAAAACGTTAAATGCTACTCAAAAAACTGTTGCTAAACAAAGTCTTGCTAAACAAAGTCGTTAGATATTAATTGATAGTTGTTTGTTGTTATTAGTTGTTTAAATACGGTTGAAAGTATAACTGTTAGGTAAAACAACTATTCACTTAGAATTTTGATTAATTCAAAACACTGTATTCAAAATTTTATTGCCGAACACGGACTAAAATTTTATCACTACCATATTTTTTAAAATTTTGCGAAAAGTAGTTTTATTTTGTTGGATTGCCATTAGAATAATGGAACTCATCATGTTAATTGGAGAGACACTTAATAATTAATAATCCCTCTGTTTTCAAATACTTTGTCACGTTTGAGTATTTGACCATTTTTTAAAAAAACCATTCAATTTATCTAAGTTATAATAAATTATCAAGTGAATAGATTATCATATACTTAATCTTTAATTTACTTAAGTTACAATAATAAACTAATGACAGCAACATCACATCTTGTTCAGGTCGGCAAGTAATTGATTAGAAAATACCCAGAAATTAATTGCTAAAAATTGAAATTTGATTTAGAAAATAGAGATAAGTCAACAATAAGAAAGTCAAGTTCCCGTTTAGAAGAATTTTCAAAGATATTATATTTTCCATGTCTCTCTTCACTTGCAAGAAGTGATGGATCCTCCGTTAAGCCATTTTTAATATGTGGACCAAACATCCTCTAAAACTAAATTTTTTTTCTGCATCCTTGACACACTTTATTTGAATATTCAGGGATTTCAATTTTAAAATTTCCATCATTTTTATATTTTCCTTTCAATTTTTATAATTTTATATTTCTTTCATTTCATATTTTTTATCTTGAATTGACTTGCACATTAATTTAATAAAATTTAATGAATATAATTATATTCAAATTCATAGAATTGAATCCGTAAAATTATATTTTTATTTTTTTTCAAACCAAACACAAATTTATATTCATAAATGAATTCCACACAAACTTTTTGAAATTCATTTATCCAAATAAGGGTATCCCTTGTTGCAAATTAGATACAGAAATGGTGATTTATTCAAAAGAAATTGTCATCTATTTCTTTTGCTTGTTCTCATATTCTGTCGTATTAGCATGTGGTAGCCATCGCTTAACATCCACTGTTGACTGCAATATTAAATCCTGTGCAAGCAACGGTCCACCGGTCCGATTTCCGTTCAGAATCAAAGACAAGCAACCAGTCAACTGCGGCTACCCTGAAGCTGGGTTTGTTCTATCTTGCTCAGAAAAGAACGAAACTGTGCTTGAGCTACCATATTCTAAATGGAAGCTGTTCATCGAGCAAATTGATTACAAGTCACAAGTAATTTTTTCATATCGTACAGAAGCTTGCGTTGCAACCCAAATTCTTGACCTGGATTCAAATATCTCTCCCTTTAAGTTTAAAGAGGGTAATAAAAAGTACCGCCAGTATACTTTATTCAATTGTTCTTCAGCATATGAATCCTATGAGCCAATCTCTTGCCTTAGTGGTAATCTTCAGTATCGAATTTATGCCATTCCTGCATATTATCACATCCTTGGCTTAGACTTGTTGCGCTGCGTCAAGATTCATGACATTTCACAAGTTAAATATGACTACCTATACAATGATATTCTTCATTTGAGTTGGGTCGATCCGAGATGCGGATCTTGTGAAGCAAAAGGCAAGTATTGTAGATTGAAGAGTAACACTACTGGATTTGAAACTGAATGCTACGGCGAGCTTAAAGGTATGTGGCTAGTTTACAAAGCAACTTGAACTTTAAAAAAAAAAAAAAAAAAAATTTGCAGGAGAAGAAGAAGAAGAAGACGATCTAATAACATCATATGTTTACTTATTTTATAAAATGGTTTATCTAGTTATTTATTGTTTTGCAGGGTCGTCAAGAAAGCATATAACAATAGGTTAGCTATATATCTAACCTCTTAACTTTTATATTCTGTTAGTTGCTTATTTCGAAAATTATTTTTCTTGACAGGAACAGTTTTTTCTACGCAGGTGTAATCCTAGGTTCAATCCTTCTTGCTGCAGCAGCCAGTCTACTTTACCGCTTATATAGCTCCAAGAAAAGAGACAGAGAGTATCAGTCCAAGATTGAAAAATTTTTAGATGACTACAAATCTTTGAAGCCTACAAGATATTCCTATGCTGATATTAAAAGGGTTACGAACCAGTTCAAGGAAGAATTAGGCCAAGGAGCTTATGGAACTGTGTTCAAAGGAAAATTATCTGATGAAATTCTAGTAGCTGTTAAGTTACTAAACAATTCAACAGGAAATGGAGAGGAGTTTGTCGATGAAGTCGCAACAATAGGCAAAATCCACCATGTAAATGTTGTTCGCTTAATTGGCTTTTGTGCTGATGGGTTTATAAGAGCTCTGGTTTATGAGTACTTACCAAATGATTCATTACAGAAATACATAACTTCTGCTGATAACTCGAACAAGAATTTTCTTGGTTGGAAAAGACTACAGGACATAACACTCGGAATTGCTAAAGGGATTGAGTATCTTCATCAAGGATGCGATCAAAGAATCCTTCATTTTGATATAAAACCGCACAATATCTTACTAGACCATGACTTCAACCCAAAAGTCTCTGATTTTGGTCTAGCCAAGTTCTGTGCAAAAGATCAGAGTGCAGTGTCAATGACAACAGCTAGAGGAACCATTGGGTACATAGCACCGGAAGTTTTCTCAAGAAACTTTGGGAATGTTTCTTACAAATCAGATGTTTATAGCTTTGGAATGTTGGTGTTAGAAATGGTTGGAGGAAGGAAGAATGTGGAAGCAACAGAAGAAGGCGATGATGAGCAAATATATTTTCCAGAATGGATATATAATCTTTTAGAAGAAGGAGATGATCTTAGGTTCGAGATCGAAGAAGAAGGAGACACTAAAATTGCAAAGAAACTTGCAGTTGTTGGACTTTGGTGCATTCAGTGGAACCCAGTAGATCGTCCTTCCATGAAAGTTGTTGTTCACATGTTGGAAGGAGAAGGAGAGAATTTACCAGTACCTCCTAATCCTTTTAGTTCTGGAACTTCAACAAGAACAAATGCAAGAATAGCAGGGAGACTACTGCACCGGAAATTGGAAGCTATATCAGAAATAGAGTAAAAAAGTCATGAACTGAGGTCATCTTCATAAATTGTAAATCAGGAAACATCCCACATTTACAATTGTTTTGTCTTGTAATTCTCAGCTGAATATGTAATGAAAATTTATTAATAAAAAATTAAAGAATAATATAAAAATAGGTAGATGACAATGGAAAGAATAAATGATATGAAAATAGCAAAATGGGGTACCCATTTTTCCTTTGCCTTCTCGACTTCTATAAAATTAGTACTAAAAGATTCATCGTTTCGAGCAATTAATACTTGATAGTATAATCTCTCTGAAATTCACATACTGGTCATTAGTTTGTCATCATTAACTTGTTCTTCCTCTCCTTACAAGAAATGGCAATTTCAGCGGTAATGATACTATTCGACTATCTGCCAGCAACAAAAATGGGAAAAATGAGCTGGAAGTTCCCGCTTTTGTAGAACCTATTAATGATCCCCCATTTATTAACGTCCCGAAGTTCATCATATTGGAGGGAAATGCCGGTGAATCCAGATCTTTAACAAAGCTAGAGACAAGTTCGAGTTCTGTGTTGGAGATCCGGATCTTCTCAACTTCCCTGGTATACATACATGAACATTTTCTTTAACCATCGAGTTAGGATGTTTGAGAATATTATGCATAATTTAGAGAGAATTATACTTCCTTCAGAGAATATTTATCGATCTGATGCAAATTGCTTTAGTATCTCAATCAGTGTTTCTGATCAATTGAATACTATAATGAAGGAATTTGATCTTCATCTTGTGGGTTAAAGCCAGTGGAGTTAGATTTTGGGGAACCATTAATGATTGCAACCATGTCTTGCAACATTTGTTTTATAACGTGAGTAAGCTCATTTACAGATGTCTTATAAGAAAACATGAATTCTGTGCTAATATATGAAGTGTGAAAAAGGTTCTTTAGAATTTTTTTTTACTAATATTACATTCTTTCCGAAGTAGAGGGTGGAGAACATGGTGCTGTTTTAACAGTGAAATTAAATGATATGGGAAACTATGGTTGTTATTCAGATTGCAGTGAAAGGATTTCAATGCCTTTGCAAGCTGAGGCTACTGTAAATCTTATGCGAAGAAGGCCATGAGTTCATTAGCAGTACACAGTAAGTGAAAGTTTATAAATTTCGTTCCACCGTATGAATTCTATTTGACTGCCATGTTTGGCAATTCATGCCTGTGTATTTTGGAAATCTGATCCGCTTTACCAATTGTAGAGTTATCGATTTTATGAGCAGTGTACTATGAAATGCTGCAATGCAAGGATTTGCTAGAGAAATTGTTGGTTTCAATTTAGTAATTATATTAAAATCAAATCAATTCCATTGTGTGTGTGCAGCCCTTGGATCGGTTGTCTTCATTGAGTTTCTTATGGTGCTTTCTCTTGGAGTAGCTCTTCTATTCGTCACATTCAAGTGTGCTTTCCTTCTCATAAAAGAAAGAAAAGGCCGCAAAATCCAGAATTCTCAGCAGTCTACTCTGCAGAATATCCAGAAGGAATCAGTGAGCGACTGTTGGTTTTTCATATATATTACATTGTTAAATATTGCTCTATCGATGATTTATTTGGTGAAATTTTCAGTCTAAAATGCTTGAATTCTCATATGCGGTCAAGTAACAAGACATCAACTTAGTTCACCAGCTGTTGTTCAAGACTTCTTTCACATCACACTCAACCTTCCAACTTTCCACAACGGTAATAGGCAAACGACAAGTAATAAATGAGTTCCAGGTTTTCTCATATATTTTTCTTCACTAACACAGCATTTTCATAAATGTGCAGCTCCCATCATCGGTAAAGAATCTGGCGAGGCTATATGTGGTCCATCTGAGTCTACTCGTGTTAACCATCCGCAGACTCTGCCTAGCTTCATGCCACTTGCTATGGAGAAGGGGTTCTAAAATAGGCCTAAAGGAGCATAAGGTATCTGTTCAGCTTTATGTGTTGCTTTATTTAGTTGCAGTGACTTAGATCACTTATGTAAATTACCTTTGGCATTTGCTTTATGATGTTTCAATCCTTTAGCTGCTAGACTTGCCGTTTCGAGTATTATAAACTCACTGGTTAAACATAGAGAACCATTGCAGAAACAATATCAGCACAAAGATTTTAGCAGATCAAAATAGATAAAAAGAGGAAGAACACTTGCATTTCATCTTATGGATATAAAACCGGCCTGGAAGGCATTAGTAGACTTGCTAAATCTCCTTCTAGATTTTCTTTGGGGGACTGGGATTTTCTTTGTAGATTCTTGCTCATAACCGTGTTGTTTCCAAAGACTTGGCAGGACAGAGTCAATTTCTATAATTTGAAATTAATAAATTTTATTAAAAATGTGGAGGAATTAAAATGAAATGATATTATTAAAATAAAAAAATCTAATAATTATTAAATTTCACTATAATAATAATAATTATTGAGTGAATAATTGAAATTAAGTATTATATTAACCCTTTATCTTGCTATCATTCAAGTTAAAAGAAGATATGAATTCAATAAAGGTTAATAGAAAATATTTAAATAACAATTAATATTATTATTAGTAAATTTGGAAGAAGAAACTGCTAAATTATTATTAAGGTTAAAAAGCAATACATCATGAATAAAAGCTGGAGGGTTAGCGATTCACTCCACATGACCGGGCAGAGCTTGAGCTAAGAAATGAGCCGCTTGATTCGCTGATTTTTAAAAAAAAGAATAATGAAGTACATTTAAAAAAAATGACATTATTGAAATTTATTAAAATAAAAATCTTATAATTATTAAATTTCACTATAATAATAATCATTTAGTGAATAATTGAAATTAAGTATTATATTAACCCTTTATCTAGCTATCATTCAAGTTAAAAGAAGATACGAATTCAATAAAGGTTAATCAAAAAGATTTAAATAACAATAATAATTTTTATGTTGATAATATTATAGTGATTTTCAATGAATTTCGCATATGAAAATTTTAGTAAATATATTTTTTTAATCTTGCTGAAAATGTGAATTATTGAATAAAATTATTTAAATATAGATAACCATTACAAACACTATCAGCTAAAAGTTCTTTTAGCAAATTTGTTAAACTCCTTCAATAACTGCATGATTCTGCAAAATCAACTGGCATGGATGATGATTCTCCTTCATCTTTAGCAAGTGATTCTGCAAAATCAACTGACATGGACGATGATTCTCCTTCATCTTTAGCAAGTGATTCTGCCGGATATAAAACTGGCCTGGGAGGCAATTGTAAATTCTCTAAATCTCCTTCAAGCATCTCTATAACTTTGTTCATTGGAGGACGATCAGAGGGTTTCATCTGAATGCACCATAATCCTGTTACAATCATTTTTCTTGCTATTTTATTTTCCTCCTCTGTTGCATCTTCTATTTCCAACTCTCCATTAGATAGTCTGTCGTATTCTACCTTACCCACTCTTTCCATTTAGATAGTCATTTGTCCCGTAAACCACAAAATGGATAGTATTCTTCAATTAAACTCAGCCGTATTGCTTTGGCAATCAATTTCTTCCTTCTTTCCTGTCATTTACGCAGGTAGACAACATTCCCAAAACTATACACATCAGTTTGTCAACGAGAACTTATCGGCCGATGTTTGTGGACTTTAGAACAGTCCGGATTGCCATTACTTAACTTCCTGAATATATGTGTTCCTCTTTAAAGGTGTTTACTGTAATGTAGATTTGGTGCATGAAGTCATACGCCAATAAATTTTGATTCTTGTGATTCAATTTTAGCCCATCGCACATAATTATCAGGACAAATTTGTATTGTTGAGATGATATATTTATTGGATCAAGAATGTATATGTACTCCACTTTGTTATTGGTATGTTATGTATTTACTATTATAAGATTGACAGGCAGTGGTTGCATTTTTTTCGCCTAAGGCCTTTTGATGTATGAAGAATACTGTGTTCAGGAGTCGACACCACGAGACCACGTCCTGTGAGCAAGAAATTTTCTGATCGGGTAGTTTCTCTAACTCTTCGAAAACACATTATATTACTATGCAAATACTAGGTCCGGTTCGTCTTTCTTGACGAAAATCTACTGTTTATTATTTATCATAAGAGATGGCCATGTGATTATTTAGAATATGCATAGCTAACTTATAGAGTTTACATGTCTAAACAGCCTTTGTGTTGCAACTATCTAGACACAATACAACTAATTTTATGTGTAATTACGAATCCCATTTTTAGGCATGTATGTTTTTCTGTATTAAGTTCTCTTCAGTATGTTGTTTTTATACTTTATTATCTGAACTTATAAGTTCTTGCATCCATTTATGTCTTGTTGAAATTTTTTCACCTTCAACATCTTATATTGCTGCAAATTGCCCCGCTGGCGAAGCATTTTCCTTGGTGATACACAGGCATCAGCCAAAGCCTACCTTCACCCAGTATTATCTTTGAACCCTCCAGTCCATCATGTGTTAAATGTCTTTATGAGTAAGCATTCACTATTTATGTCGCTCGCATAATAGATCATTGTGCTCTGACAGAAATTACTTCTTCAATAGTGGGTTTGTATCCTGTACAGTTGCTGTCTTACTGCGATTAGATATTAAGATCAAAATGCAGTAACAAATTGGACGTCCCCATAAACACCTTGCAACATAGTGTTGTATCCTGATAAATGCCTTCTTCTCCATTTATAGATCAGAAATGCAGTAACAAATGGAGTCCCACATAAACACCTTGCAACAAGAAACATTCCTGCATGAAATTTATAGAAGCATTCAAGATAGACAAAATTTGTGGCTTTGCCATCTCTTTTAACATTTCTATGTTAATGTTTCTTATATAATCTTACTTTTTTTTTCTTGTAGAAGAATAGAAAAAAATGAAAGGAGTTCTTACCAGCTGGCATCAATATGAGGAAAAGGATAACTGCAGGAATCATACACAAGGGAAATTACTAATATTACTATAAACTATATTGTAACATGTAATTATGTACACAGATAGAGAGAGAGAGAGAGAGAGAGAGAGAGAGAGAGGGTCTTACCTTGGACTGGATCACTGATATCTTCATTATAATAAAGTAAAAAATAACATCAATCAGTATTAGAGGATCTTAATCTATATTTTTCATAAATAGGATAGCATCTCATTTCATGAACCTGAGCGATAGCACTGAGTATGGTTTCTGGCGTCGAGGTAGCAACCACAGCCGTCACATTTGTGTATACATTTGATATTGAACCATGAGATCTCAAATCCAAATGCTAACTC